TATTGGTGCATTTAACTCACAAATAACCTTAAGAACATTGAAATATAACAACTATGTTAAGAGCATGAATACAAAATAGTGAAACAGATGACTCCAATATATAATTCATAAAAATCTCATGAGTTACAAATCTTAAATAATCTTAAGATTTTCCAAAAGCAAGAATTACTAAGAGAATTGGTGTTCAGCAGTGATTATTTCCTGTGCATTACATCTGTATTCTTCAAACAAACTTTTCTACTTTATCAATGAAACAGACAGGGTTTGATTTGAAGATCTGACCATTGCATCAAGCTAATCAACTCAGCTGTGCTAAAGCAGGAATATCACAAACATTTTTGCATGGTACTAGGTTAATCTGCTCGTTATGTGACATAACCATGAAAATTAGTAGTGTACTAAGAAAATTCCCAATACAACAGTAAAAATAGAAATGTGACAAAGTCTGTTTAAAGGAACACAAACATGTATTCATGATCCTATAGGGTTAAAATTACTATCTAGGCCTTCTTCTTGCAACCCTAAAAATAGTAAAATCTTACCTTTATTTTAGTCTGCTGGTGCTGGTTCTGCCCCCTTGGTTGACATCTGTGATGATCTCAGCCAATCACTATGCTTTCTTATAGGAAAGCATTGGTTTAGCAGAGATAACCAAGGGGTGGGCAGGGGGAGGAGACAAACACCACTGAATAAATCAACATCTCTTGATTGAGATGCATTTAATCAATGCATTTCTACGAAGAAAGTTCAGTATCTCCATGCAGAGGGTGGAAACACTAAATGTCAGTACTGCACAGTATGCGGCACTGCCCCAGGAAGCACCTCTAGTAGCCATCTAAGGAGTGGCTAGTGGAGTTACTAGGCTGTAATGTAAACAATTACATTTTCTCTGAAAAGACAGAAAACGCCTGTAGGAACTAACTATACTCACCAGAACAATTACAATAAGCTGTAGTTGTGTTGGTGACTATAGTGTCCATTTAATTTAAAAATACACTTGCCTGTACTCATCAAGCATGTGTAAGAAAATACTATATAAAATCTAAATGACAAAAAGCCACACTTCTGAAGTTTTAAAGACTGAGGATCTAATTAAAGATGTATATTTCATTCTTATCATTAGGCATTTTTGGACTTTTAGTTATGTTGGAAGAAATCATGCATGTACCTGAAAGATCGACTAAAGCTTCATGACTTGAAACAGCTCCTTTTTCAATGAAGAGCTCTCTAAAATATTCACTGCTAGCAGCCAGCACAGACTTATGTGCTTTAAATTCTTCCCCTTCTATGAGGAGTGTAACATCACAGAACTGATTAGAAAGGCGTTGCTGGTTCAACTGGTCTAAGACTTTTTGGCCATGTTTAGAAGAGGACTGCTTTACAATTCCCTTGCTATCAACCTAGAAGTGAAAAGCATAATGTCATTGAGTTCAGGTCTAACAAAATGTGTCTTAAATACTACATTTGCAGATGTTGCTAAATTACATTCAGAAGAAATAAATCAAGTACATTCTCTGCTTCCTTAGTAACATTAGGTAAATTAGAACTACAGAGAGGAAAAATAATAGAATTGTATCACTATATCGTGGAACAATAGCAAAGTCTGAGATTACAGGTTTGACTTTGAACTTACAATTTGCAATTCCATTGCTCATTCTCTACAGTCTTTTATTTAGTCAATAAACCTCAATTTATTTACAGATTTTAATTCCTTTGAAGAAAACTATGAGGGAGACTTAGGACTCACATAATTATATATGTATATAAAACAAACAACAACAACAAAAAAAACGCACAAATACTAATTCGTGTTTTGCCACTGGCTTCTTTTTAGCAGCTTTTGCAACAAGGTTTGCACTGGGCGCAGAACTGCTCTGTTCGTCATCTGTGTCATTGCCATCCGATCGAATCTCTATACCAAGTTCTTCTAACATATCTGTTGGATCGTTCACGGAACGAGATCGGTCTAGCTTTTCCTGGCATTTCGAGCACTCCTTAATGTAATCTTTCACTTGTTTTAAGATCCCTAAAAAAATGCAAAAGAAAATGTCTGATGAAAATACTACTTTAAATCAAATACATGACTATCTTATTGAGTTTGTATACCTCCCTACCCCCCCCAATCACAATATACAATTTTAACATCACAAAAAATATATATAATTAAAAAATTGATAACCTTAATAGTCTCTCACAATCTATACACTTTAAGGAAAACATGACTGTATTCCCAACACAGGGCTTGACAAATTTGTTTGGAATCTAGGAGCCAAAAGAGTTTTTTTTAAACTAGCAATATGCAATTTTTAAAGGGACAGTATAGTCACTAGAACCACTACAGATTAATTTAGTTGTTCTAGTGCCTATAAGCCTGTCCCTGTAGCCTATTCAATGTAAACACTGCATTTTCAGAGAAAAGTCAGTGTTTACATTCTTGCCTATTAAGATCTCTAGTGACAGCCACTCAGATGGCCACTCGAGGGGCCTGTGTCAGTGCACAATGTGCAGCACCTATGTTCAGCATGGAGACGCTGAATGTTACCCATAGAGAACATGTGCAATATCCTCCCAATACTTTCCTATGGTAAAGCATTGGCTTGGCTAAGATCATAAAAATTGATCATCTCAGCTATGAAGGCGGAGAAAGCCACGGCAAACAAATGGTCCGCAGCATGCCGTGGGAAAAAAAGTGAGTGAAAATACCTGATGTGATCAGAGGGACAGAGGCACACACACATACACACTGACAGAGACATGCAGACACATTTTCTTACACACAGATTTACATTTTTTTAATTTTCATCCACCATCTCCCTACCTTTGGGAGAGCTGAGTGGATCTTTCCTTGGGGTCCAGTGCGGCTGCTCTCTCTTCCTGCTTGCTAGGGAGCAGTAATCTACCTGCTCCCTGTAGTGATGCTGGGGCTGGAATTACTTCATATTCCGGCTCCCAGCATCATTATACAATGCAAGGGAGCAAAGAGGAGATGCAGGAAGATCACTTCTAACCCGTGTGTGCACGTGCTTCCTCTGCCGACCATCTTGATACTCCCCAGGCCGGCCAGCTACAATACTCCCTAAGCCAGACGTCTCCATGCTCCCGGGGCGGGCGGCTACAATGCTCCAAGTCCCCCATCTCCATGCTCCCCAGGAGAGCTAAAGGGCTGACAAATTCCAGGTGCCAGGGCAAAATTTCTAGTCGCCATGGTGACCTGGGATTTGTCGAGCCCTGTCCTATATCGTCCCTCTGCCTTTGCCCCCCCTCCCCCCGCCACCTTCCCAGCAGTCACGAAAGGGTTAAAACCCCTTTCCCCTCCATTTATCTGATTCCAGCACCGATGGATCGGGCTCCTCTTTCAGCAATATTACAGGCTATCCACAAACATAATGCACATGTGCGGCAAACGACACGCACACTATAGCTTGCCATAGGAAAGCACTGAATCAATGCTATCCTATGGTGGTTTTCAAGGCAAAGGACATCCGCATCCAAACTGTGAGGACATCCAGCGTCGTTTAAACTACAGGAAGCACCTAAAGTGGCTGTCTGAAAGACAGACACTAGAGGCAGAATTACCGTATGTGATTAAAAAGTCACCCAGACAACTTAATCTCAATTGCCATGTCCTTTCAATTCTGCAATGTGAAACATTGCATTTTTTTGTAGAAAAAAAATCCATCTCTAGAGGATGTTTTCCTGACAGCCACTAAAGGTGTTTCCGCTGCACTGCCCAAGTGAAACTGTCACGTGATGCAGAGGCCCACCGGAAGGCATTGAATATATAGGAAAGCTTGGATGAGCATTAGTTCTCCAATGCTGGACCATCGCAGGAGGGCATGCCTCTATAATGGAGGTGGAGAGGGGAGTGCTGTGCTGGCTATGGTGCCAAGAATGTAAGCACCACTTCTGGTTTCATGAATTTTTATTACACAAGGGCACCTGTATAGAACTAGGGACAGGAACACTATAGCATTAGGGACAACTTCAGGAGTGTTCCTTTAATACTAAAAAAAAAGTACTGCCAGTATGAAATATCATTAGGAGTGTGTACATTTCCAATGCATATGTCAGTGCAGCAGCTAAAGCATCAGCATTGCCCCCCATCTCATCTGACAAAGAGGTCAAGTACAATAAGTAAACCACCACCAAAAGCTGTTCAAAACGAAGTCATTCTGAAGTGAAGCAAATCATGGTATGACGCACTGGTCCCTATCCATTTTTATTTTTTTAAAACAGATGTATACCAAAAATTGCTATACATTATAAACTTAAGTAATGTAAAATAAATCTTAACTATATCTACAGAATGTACATTTTATCTTGGCCACGTGTCAATTATTACATATACAAAAGTGTTTTCACTAATTCAGCTTGTTTTCCCCTGGAAATAGAACACCCCAACACCAATAGTAAACTCGTGGTTCTATAGCAGGCTTCCCCAAACTCCGGCCCTCCAGACGTTGCTGAACTACAACTCCGATGATTCTCAGCCTATTTCATTCATAGAATCAAGAGAGTTGTAGTTCAGCAACTTCTGGAGGGCCAGAGTATTGGGAAGCCTGTTCTATAGCTTCACTTTTCCAATCACAATCAGTGCCCAAGCCATGAGCTGAGGAACACACTGTCACCAACACCCACCTCTCACTTCCTGTGCACAGTTATTTATCTCCCACACTTTCCATCTAGCTCCAATCACTCTTAACATTTGGCCAACCTGCTAGCTCTTTCAATGGCAGCAATGGATACTGTGTTCACGTTAATTCCAAGTCACACAAGTTCTTTACACATTGCAATACTCTATATAATCAGAGCTGGCCGAGCCCTGCATTCGATGTACACAATACAACACAGCAGCAGCAGTCACTGTCTGCCATCCCAGCAGCACATGGAGCACTGCTCTCTGTATTGCAGTGTGATAGCTCGATATCAGGGACACTGTCATAGAAAACATTTTGTCACTGCAACTGCAGCTGGACTACATTTCCCGAGATGCCTTGCTCGCCAAGTGCCATTACTGCAGTAGCTCCCAGTGCCCCCCATTGTGAGCTCCCCATTACTGTGCTCTCACCCCTCCACCAGTAGGTCTGGGACAGGTTGTGCCATGTCTGATGCCGGGTCAGGTGCTCCCCTCCCGCCCCGGTGTGCGCCGCTTCTATCAGCCCCTTCCTGCGCTCGGGCTGCAGCACCACCTCCAGCTCTGTGAAGCGCTCCTTGTCCCGCTGCCGCCGCTGGTAGTACAGGGTCCCGGATTGCACCACGTAGCAGGCGGCGGCCTTGCGGATCTTGCGCTTGACATTGCCCTCGGTGCCCGGAGCGTAGGGCTCCCGCTCGTTGGTCAGATAGCGCAGGATGGCCAGGTAGCTCTCCTCGCTGGACATGGCGGACAGCGCGGGGCCCCACCGGCCTCCCTGGAGGCGCAGGCCGCGCTCTGTATCCGGGCGGCGGGCTCGGTGCTCCCCCTGGATAGCGGCTGACAGCTACACGGGGAACTGCTGGGCTCGGAACGCCCGGCGAGCAGCTTCGCGGAAACACAAAATGGCTGCTGCACCAGCGGAAGTGACGTCATGCGAGTCTCGGCGTGGATGCAATGTAGGCAGAGAGAACGCGGAGAGACTCAGAGAGAAGGAGGAGGAGGAGAGCAGCGTGCCGGGGGTAAGAGCAGACATGCCGCCATAACCGACTGTCCCGGGGGAGCATGGCGGCCTGCTACACGCTGTATGAATGGTGTTGGGTACATGTTCCCTAATGCACAGCCTGTGTGTGGGTTCACGTGCTGTTTTTGGGGAGCATTTCTATAGTATAGTCAGTCCCTGCAGGCTTTTTAAAGTGAAACTCCAGTGGCACTGCAGGTCCCCTCCCACCCCCCAATCTCCGGTTGCTGAAGGGGTGAAAACCGTCGCTGCTTCTTACGCCGCTCCTCCCTCTGATTGCGTCGGCCGGTGGACGAGACTGTTCCCACTCACCGGCCGGGAGACCTAATGCGCATGCACGACATTCAATGCTTTCCTATGGGGAAATGAGGGCTGGAGGTACTCACACAGCGTGAGGACGTCCAGTGATGCTATGGACCAGGAAGTGCCCTCTAGGGGCTGTCTAGTAGACAGCCAGTAGAGGTGGAGTTAACCCTGCAAGGTAATTATTGCAGTTTATGAAAAACTGCAATAATTACACTTGCAATGGGCAGAAGTGGTCTGGGTGCCTGGAGTGTCCCTTTAATATAAACACTGCTTTTTCTGGAAAAACAAGGCATTGTTTACATTACTGCCTAGGGATACCTGTAATCAGTGGCATACACATGACCCATGTGGTCCCGGTGCAAAAAATTGATCCGTGGCCCCCCCCTGCGCTTACTCGACAAGGGTCGGGGCCGCAACACATGGCGGCGGGCACCTGGTCACAGGGCTGCGACCGCGTCATGCTGCACACACACCTAAAGGATCACTACAGACACCCAGATCACATCAGCTCAATGAAGTGGTCTGGGTGCCAGGTCCCTCTAGTTTTAACCCTGCAGCTGACAACATAGCTGTTTCAGAGAAACGGCTATGTTTCACTGAGGGTTAATCCAGCCTCTAGTGGCTGTCTCATTGACAGCCGCTAGAAGAGATTCCGCTATTCTCACTGTGAAAATCACAGTAAGAAGACACTGAACGTCCATAGGAAAGCATTGAGTAATGCTTTCCTATGGGCGGTTTAAATGCGCGCGCGCCTCTTGCCGCGCATGTGCATTAGGAGCTGAGAGGCGGGGGGATCCCCAGCGCCAAGGAAGTCCGGCGCTGGAGGAAGGTAAATGCTGAAGACACACACTCTCACGAACAGACGCATACACACTAGCTAACAGACACACACATTTACTGACAGAGACACACTCAGTGACAGACATACATACACACTCACAAAACATACACTTTCACTGACAAACACACACTCACTAACAGACATCAGACATCAGACACACTCAGTAACAGACACACCCAATAAGACACACTAACACACACACACACTAACACATCATTTTTTTTTTTTAAATGTAATCCCCCAGCCTCCTTACCTTTTGGAGTGCTGGGGGGATTCCCTGGGGTCCAGTGGTGGTGCTGCTGGGCTCCTGGGTGGGCATCTGACGTCATCTTCCAGCTCTGGTATCAGTGCGGTGCGCGAGGGAGCTGAAGAGGAAGCACTCAGGGGAGAGTGCTCCCTCGCGCGCCGGCCACCCAGACAGCCAGCCCACCGGAGTCAGCAGGGCCAGCCTAGGGGGGACCTGGGGTTGCCGGCTCCTGGGCCCCCCAGGAGAAGAGGCTGGCCCTGTGGGTACAGCCGCGACCCCGGTATGTACGCCACTGCCTGTAATGGAAATCATTCATACGGCCACTGGAGTGGTTTCCTGGGCCAGTGCAGTACTGGCATTCAGTGTCTCCATGCATTGCATGGAGGCGCTGAAGGTTCCCCATAGAGATTCATTTATTTTATGCGTCTTCTGCGCAATAGCCTCCCAGTGCTTGGATTTGCTGAGATCATCTCTAGATAGATGATCTCAGCTGTGAAGGTGGAGTCAGGTGGGGCAAGACTGGCAATGCATGATAACAAAAGGTTAGTAAAATCACCTTTTATTTACACAGAGAGGGGGGTCGATGACCTAAATGTTTATTCCTACTCTATAGGAATACATATTTAAAGTCACAATGTTCTTGTCCTGTAAACACATAATGTTGTAAAACTGTGGGTTATTGTTCCCCATCCCCGCCCTTTCTTCCTCCAGTGATATCACTCCCTCTGATTTAACATTACCAACCTGCAACTTTCACTCGGGGCTGTTATTTAAGCGGCACAAACAGATTCCAAACATCATGACCACTTCAACTCATTGAAGTGTTCATGTTGCTTATAGTAATTATTTAACTCTTTCTGGATGTAAGGGTGTGCTATGCGGTCCTACAAAAGGAGGGCTTTAACGCTGTTAGGGCAGCATAACATTCCTAATGATTGGGCCCTTGTTCTATCATTCTGCTATACCCCGTCAGATTTCTATACCCCCGTCACTTCCGGGGAGGGGAATCAGCTGGATCCTTTGCTGCACATGCCTCACTTAACCCTAAATGCCCTGTGTGCCTAAGCTTAGTGAATGCACTAACTATAATGAAAGTGTAAAACTAGTTTTACTTACCTTCCAGGACCTTGCTGTGGAGGAGTAGCAGGAGTGCTAGCAGGCATGTGCAGCACAGGATCCAGCTGATTCCCCTCCCCGGAAGTGACGTGGTATAGAAATCTGACGGAGTATAGCAGAATGATAGAACACCCTCTCTCCGGTATCTATACTTACTGTCATGTGATAGTGGTGACATCATGATTGGTTTCGAACTTGTACAATTGCCTCCATCCTTAAGGGGCTAACAGATATCAATAAGTATTTGTTGTAAATTTTTTGTTATTCAGGGGAGACTCGTTTTTCCAATGGTTTCAAATTATGTATTGTTTCGATCTTAGCTTTATGTAAATTAGAAACCACCATCTCTGAACTTTCTGAGTACTGGAGGGGAAAAGCATGCTTCTTACACTGAAATAAGTTGTAAAAGCTTGTTTTAAAACTGTGGAAATTACTCACTGTTGTAACTGTTTAACATTTTTATTTAACTTACACTGCTCCATCAAAAACATAACTAATAACAGGAACCATTTCCCCCTTTTTTTTAGTTTGCTATCATTATTCAATATGTCAACACAAATTAAGGACAAAGAAGCTTTTCAACGAATCAATTTTCTATACCAGGTAATTATAGATTATAGTTAAACTACTACTGTACATTTGTATGTGTTTAATTTCAGTAGTCATTTTACTACCAGTTGCATGATAATCAAAATTAAAACCCAAACACATTTCCTATTCAGCTTATTGGCTACATTAATTAATTTTCATGTGCTACAACTACTTTAACACTGTAGGGTGGCCACCTGTGCTCCCTGTGGTGACATTCTGTCATTAAACTAATATGGTGGCCAGGGGTCATGTGACCAATCTCATGTATGCATTTCTTACAGGGGGATAAGCTTTACCCTTTGATATGGTAATTGGGTAATTCTTTCTTTCTAATACTTTTTATTGAAAAATTTTGTTTTAAGATAACAAATAATCACATTAATACATACATACATACACACCTAATTAAATCCGACCAATACAAATAAATCTTTTTGATGGAAAGAAAAAAACTTTCATTGAGATATATCAATCGGTCAAAAAAAACCACAAAAAAAAACCTGGAAGTTGACAATATTACATTTAATCCATCAATGATAATAAGAGGTGTATCAATGGGAGTAGGCACGGGTTTACATACATATTACAGTAGATAATAGATAGAGATTACAAATACATATTAACCGTGAGAGTTCCATTTCCCACATAGGATTTTATCTTTCTTAAACACAATGCCTGAGAAATTTATCAATTGCCATATAATAAAGAACAGTTTTTTAACCAAGTAGAATACCAATCCCTTTTTTTTGAAAACACTAACCGATTTTTTATCATTTCGTTTTCCATTGTCAATTGAAATTTAATTTGGTTAATTAGAGAGATTTTCTGAAAAGGAACAGAGGATTTCCACTGATTTTAACTGCAATGAAGCAGTGAATTGCTAAACAAATATATTTACTTGATTTAAAAGGCAAATTGAGATGGAGGAGGGCCGATACTGGGTCTATATTTATATCTTTAAATGATACCTCTTTCATAGATATTTCAGAAAAGATATTATAGGTCCAAGCCCATAGTGGTTTTGCTGCTGGGCAGAACCACCAGATATGAATATATGTACCCAGATAGGTACCACATCTCCAACAAGTAGGATCTTGAGAAGAATACATTTTAGCTAATCTTGTCGGGGTGTAGTACCATCTATAGAGTAACTTAAAATGACACTCAGTCAAGTTTAGACCATGAACAAATTTGTTTACTAGAATTATAGAAGAGTACCATTCCTTTGGGGAAATAACTAAATTTAGATCCTTTTCCCAGGATTTAACCAATTTATAGGGAAAGGTGTCTGAACCTTTAAACAGCATATTAGCCACCGAAACAACTTTGGGTATAGTTTTAAATGAGAAAAGAATTTGTAGCTCTTTAGCCCGAGGAAAAGAAGATTGAATAACATGTTTCTGAATATAGTGTTTAATGCGAAAATAAGTAAATAATTCTTTAGATGGAATATGGAAATTATCCACGATCTGTTGAAATGGTAAGATATCATCGCCCTGCATAATATCCGATAAAGTTATTATATCTTTATTGGGCCAGTGTCTCAGTGATAGATCCTCTACATTATTTTCTAATAAATTTAATTTACATGTTTTGGGAATTGAGTAACTTACACCCAAAATTTTTCTGATTTCAACCCATGTTTCCAAAGAGTGAGCCAGCGATATTAAGCCATTAGGCAAATCCGTTAGAAACCTCACAGGATCTGACCATATATATGGATGAAGAGCAGATACATGTAGCGCTTCAGACTCCAATTTATACCAAGGTTCAGAAAAAAAAAAAGGTTCTTGTAAAATATATATATGTCGTATAGTATTGGCATAGTATAAGTTAGTGATATTTGGATAATTTAGCCCTCCCTTAGAGAGTTTGTTGTAAATATATTTTTGACTTATTCTGGGCTTTTTATTTTTCCAAATAAATTTATTTATGGCAGATTGTATCATATAAAGCCACATCTTAGGGATTTTAAGGGGAACCATTGATAACAAATAAGACCATTTTGGTAAAATATAAGAGTTGATAATGTTAATTCTACCTATCCATAGTGTTTCTAAATTTTTCCATTTTTTTTAGGTTTTGATTCATTTCCTTCATTAACTGCATAACGTTCCTCTCCATTATTTGGGAAGCATTAGCCGGAAAGCTAAGGCCCAAATAATTAATTTCTGAGTCTGTCCAAATAAACTGATATTTTTGAGATAGCCTTTCAACCTGAGTGAAGGGTAAATTAATAGTTAAAGCAGTAGATTTAGAGACATTTAACTTGAAATTAGAGATATTAGAAAAATTGACAATTTCTTCCATTAATGATGCCAATGAATCTTCTGGAGATGTAAGGGTTACCAGAGCGTCATCGGCATACAATGCAATCTTAATATCTTGAGATTTCGTAGGAACACCCTTTATTAACTGATTGTTCCTAATGTTTATCGCAAGAGGCTCAAGAGATAAGATGTAGAGAAGCGGTGACAAAGGACATCCCTGTCTTGTACCGTTTTTAAGATCGAACCACATCGAAGTAATATTAGGACCTACAGTTCTGGCTGAAGGGTCAGAGTATAATATAATTGCGGTGTAAATCCAACCCGTAAAGCCGTATGCATTGAGAAGTTCACTTAAATAGCCCCACCCAACCCTGTCGAACGCTTTTTCTGCGTCCAAAGACAGGGCCAGGAGGGGCTCTTTATTGGCATTGACAAGACTAATACTATCTATAAGCTTTCGAGTGTTATTTGATGCCCATCTTCCTGGGATAAACCCTATTTGATCAGGATGAATAAGTTTAGAAATAACCCTTTTCAGTCTCTCAGCTATAATAGCTGAATAGATTTTCATGTCAACATTAATTAATGCAATTGGTCTATAGTTTTTTGGGTCCGTACTATCTTTATCCGGTTTTAAAATGGGAACAATGTTTGATTGTAGTAATTCCTTTGGGATGATCTCACTTTCTGCTGCTTGATTAAACATTTCAGTAAGAGGTTTTAAAAGATAAGGTTTCATATATTTATAATAAAGATTTGAAAAACCATCAGGACCAGGAGTTTTGTTTATAGCTAATCTATCAATTTGAAATTGCACTTCCTCCATATAAATTTTTTTATTCAGAATGGTCAGATCCTGGGAAGAAATTCTCGGAATTCGAGACTTTAATAGAAAACTCTTAATGTCCTTTATTTCTGGGGATAGCCTTAAATTGTATAGATCTTGGTAAAATTGATTAAACTTTTGACCAATCTCCAGTGGAGTGGAGTATACAGTTTGATCCACTACCAATTTTTCTACTCTATTTTTAGCATATTGATTACGGAGCCTCCTAGTTAGACTCTTACTCGCTCTATTACCCGAGATGTAGTGATTTAGTTTTAATTTATTTATATTTGACCTTATTTTCTCCTCTTCCTTTAAATTAATTTGGAGTTGTAGATCTTTTAACTGAGTTCTCAGCTCGGGGGAAGATTGTATTTTATTCAATTTGGATCATGAGTAGAATTCAATATATAAGTCAGACAATTTTATTCCTTTATTTTTCTTAAAGAGATAGTCTAATTTAATTATATAACCCCTCATTACAGATTTATGGGAACACCAATTTATTAAGGGAGAGGTGTCTTGCAGGTCATTTTCTGCCCAAAAATATTCAAATAATTTAGTCAAATCCTCCCTATTCTTAGAATCCTTCAAAATATCATCATTTAGTCTCCAAGTATTACGAGGAAAAGGCGGAGAATTACCAAGAGCAAATACAACAAAACTGTGGTCTGACCATGTATTTTCTTTAAGATCAATATAATTAAAAAGCGGAATTGTTATAGCATTTGTTAAACAAAAATCGATCCGAGAATATGTTCCATGAACACCGGATAGGTGAGAAAAATCTTTTTTAAGGGGGTGAAGTAATCTCTAAATATCATATAAATTATACTGCCTACATATATTATTTAATCTTTTGGCTTGCTTAGTGGGTCCTGTATTAACATTAGATAAGGGAGATAGTGTAGTTCTGTCCAAAAGTGGATCACCAACACAATTGAAATCGCTAGCGATAATCAAATATCCCTTATAGATTTTGTCCACTTTATCCATTATCAAAGAAAATTTAGTCATTGGATCAACATTAGGTAAATACACGTTGACCAGTGTATAAATTTTATCTTCGATCTTACAAACCAAAATAATAAACCTCGCTTCTGGATCAAATTCTGTATGTAGGATATCTACGTTAATATCTTTACTAAATATAATTGCCACACCCCTTTTTTTATTTTTAATTAATGAGGCATGAATCGCCGTTACAAATTTATCACCACCCCATGTTTGTTTAGTATCTTTAAGCCAATGAGTTTCTTGTAAAAAGGCTACCTGTATATTTTGTTTTATCAGGGAATCATACAGTCTATATCTTTTTTTGTTCGTGTTAAGCCCCTGAACGTTCAAAGATAAAAACTTCAACATATAATTACCTCAAAGAGATAATTTTTGGACTTCCGAAAAAAAAAAAAAAAAAGGAATAACAACATATACTCCCAATCATTGGGTTATGAATAAGACAACACCATTCACCCAACTATTAGGTAAATACCTAATTCTACGATATTCATTGACAACCCTATTGGAGCAATGAAAATAGAGTAGCATAACTACACAAGAGTGGAAACCCCGAACCATGCCTGAGTTGAAAAACCTACCACTACAAAAATGACCTCGCTCTGTCTTAATTTAAATCTCCCTAATAGAAGGAGAATTGGAGAAATACTGCCCAAGAGATTTTATATCAAAGTGTATATAAGATAATAAATAAATATATAGTGAATAAAGATATCAATACTCATTCAATTACTTTAAACCTGGAACTTATATCATCGTTCTATTAAGTGACAATCATTAATACTGTAGTAATCATGTGAAAAATTTGAATTTAGAGTGTAAACTAACACCAAAAGAGGCAAATATATAATACTTTTCAAATATTAGTTTCTTCTGAGAAAGTTATTACTTAGTGTCCATAAAATAACAATTTTTCTTGAGCATATGTGAATTACTTGTATACTACATGGGAAAAATATTTATAATCTTCTCTTAAGCTTTCTTCTCCCCCTCCTCCCTCCCACACTCATATTCATGTTTATATTCTGCAAAAATAAAAGCATAGAACTAAGACAACAATTTGTTACTTTTAAGCCATTCTGTTAATCTCGCACTAGTCTCAAATATTTCTCTTCTACCTTCATAAGAGAGACTAAGTTTTAGTGGAAAAGGCCACTTATATTTTATATTATGATTTCTCAAAGAGCATGTGGCAGAACTAAATGCTTTTCTTTTTGTTCTGGTTTCAAAGGATAAATCTTGAAATACTTTAACTTTCTGGAAAGGCCCCTCAGAGATTAACTCAGTTCTTGCATATTTCAAAATGGTTTCTTTAAAATCAAACGAGAGGAAACATGCAATGATATCTCGGGGAGAATCATTTTGTATTACTTGTGGTTTAAAAGTCCTGTGGCATCTTTCTATTATTAAATCAGAAGATTTAAAGGGAACACCCAGTGCAGAAAAATATTCCAGCAAAGTCTGTTTTAGATCTTCTTGTCTGCCTTTTTCTGGAATGTCTCTAAACCGCAGATTTTTTCGCCTTGATCGGTCTTCCAATTCAGATCATTTGTTTTGTAAGTTTGTAATAGCCTGATTTGCCTTAACACACTCTTCTGATAGGTTTTTTTGTTGAAAATCTAACTGGTTTAGATGGTCTTCAAAGCTTTCCATTTTTACAACCAGTGAATTTATTTCGTTTTTTATATCCGATTTGATTTTATCCGCCGTTAGAGCCAGTTCGGCTTTAATCTCGTCTAGGTTAGTCTTTAGACTATAATGTAACAAAGAAGTAGTTATTAAATCTTTATCAGGATTACTTTTATGTTCTGGTTCCAGATCTTCTGAACTTAGATCCATTTCATTTATTTTCTGTTTAGAGATCTTATGTTGCTGGGGAGAAAAGTAAGTTGTTAATGATCTGTCCTGAGGTTTATCTTGAATAAGATCTTTTTTATCTTTCCTTGAAGAGGATTTAGTTTCGTGAAGTTTTTTCGAAGCCATGTTATAAAAATTTTGGACCTAAGGAAGCGTCAGATCATTAGCAATTATTCTATATACAAATCTTTTTTTTTTTTTTTATTTATTATTATTTTTTTTCCCTTTTTTTTTTTTTCTTCTATTCCTCTATATAATTTGTACAATTTATTGCCTGTTACTTTCTCTTTATTTTCTCTTTATTTTGTCTTCCTTTTTTTTTCTCTTTTTCTTATTCTTCTTCCCTCTAATTCTTTCCTCTTAAATAGTGTGTCTATTCCCTACTTTTTTAGTATCCTTTCCTTCTGTTTCCACTTTCCACTTTCCCTTTAAGTTTCACTTTATTTGCTTTTTACTTAATTTTCTTTTCTTCCTTTAGTGGTCCCTTTACCTCTTCTCTCTCCTGCTCCTTTGTCTTAAGTATTATCTGATTCTGAATGTTATCCCAACATTATAGGGACTTTATGAATTAAATAACAATATCTGCAGTGTTTCCTCTAAATATATATAGACAATATATTATAGTTGTCTTGAATTAAAACCACTTATAATTTTCTTTTCTTCGCCAAGTTGACATTGCAGAATTATACCTGCTACCACATATGAGCAGTTATTATAGAAATTTAAACTGCAAAATTGCAGAATTTTCAGAATAAAGAAAGATACTGCACCGTGGTATTACTGGCGTTTGTGTGGAGTTTGATCGCACATGGTTTTCTCAGGCAACTCCTCCAAAGACTAACAGAGTAGAGATGAGGAAGCCCGCGGAGTTCAGAGTAGTCGGAGCACAGAAAGTGCGAGGTCTGCAGATAGAAGTTATTCGGCGTTCATATGCACGTGTATTCCTTCTGTTGTCGGTCAAATTACAAATAGATGCAGAGATGTATAGAGGCTTACAGGCGGTCTTTACTTAGGCGGCAGAGAGAGGCATCTGGGAATGGCAGCCGTTGATACCTCGGCAGAGCATGGCGGGTTCCCCTCCTATTCCGTCATCACGGAGAGCGTCCGTCCGCACGCCCCCACGTCATAACGCCCCCACGTCATAACACATGGATTTGGTAATTGGGTAATTCAATACCTTTACAAGTCAGGAGAGAAATAACCACTTCCCCCTATCTCCATTCCTCTCTGTTCCTTCTTGGCTGTGCTGCAGAGCAGATGTGCAGACGCCATGTGCTATCTTGGTGAACCATGTTACTGTCTGTTGCTTCCTTTTCTTCCTTGGTGGATGTGATGTTGAACTTGCAGCAGTAAGCCATTACTAGATGTGAAGGCCTAACCGTGGGTGAGATCAAACATGTGGGGAAGGGGATTACTATATAGATAGATTTAAAAAGGGTTGTTGCTCCGTGGGTCTGGGCTGTGTATTTGTGATACATTTATAGTATTGTGTTGTTGCCTTTTAATAAATACCTTTTTAATGTAGACGAACCTTGTGTAATATATATATATATTAATTTGGTGATACACCACACTCCCTAAATATAATAAAATCTTACTTTTGTTCAAGTCTGCAGTTGTTGGCTCTTCCCCTGATCTGCCTGATTTATTGACATCATCAGAAGTGATTCTCTGAGCCAATCACAATGCTTTCCTATAGGATTGGTGGAGCTAGTCAAGGAGGCACATCGGGGCGCAGAGCCAGCACAAGCCAAACACAACCCTGGCCAATCGGCATCCCCTCATAGAGATGCATTGTATCAATTCAGTGGAGACACTGAATGGCAGTGCTGCGCACTGTGCCGCACTGCCCCAGAAAGTACCTCTTGCAGCCAGTAAAGTTATCCATAGGCTGTAATGTAAACACTTTTTTTTTCTCTGAAAAGACAGTGTTTACTGCAAAAAGGCTGAAGCAAATGATTATACTCACCAGAACAAATGCAATAAGCTGTAGTTGTTCTGGTGAGTAGAGTGTACCTTTAAGCTAACCACTAACATTATGAATTTCTAAAACGAAAATCCCAAGTGTGAAAAATGCAAATCCGTACTCAATTTAATTGATTACTGTCTAAATACATGTTGACCACATTATCATCGTGAGGCTAAACCAATCAAATGTACAATTATTATCCAAAATACTCTCTCCATGAAGGCTCTGCAACTTCTTTTTCTTTTAGCCAAAAGTCATGCAGATATATTGTTTGTGTGGTAAGCCTGTCATGTAATATTATTATAGTTTCTCTGCATATTTTCGTTTAACCCCTTAAGGACACATGACATGTGTGACACGTCATGATTCCCTTTTATTACAGAAGTTTGAAGGCCTGAAGGCTGAACAATGTTTTCTAAGAAAAGGCAGTGTTTACAATGCTGCTTACATACACCACTAGTGGCTGTGACTATAGACTTCCTGGGTTTGGTCCTGCAAAGATCAAAGGCTCAACTTTCAGTGTTTACTCGCTTTACATTGAGACACTGAACGCTCCCTATGCTGACTCTGCATCTCTGAGGAGATGCTAATTGGAACAGCACTGTCATTTTCCTTCGCATGCATACTAGACTCACAATGCTTCCCTATGGGATAAACATTAGATTGGCTGAGATCACCGGGATTGTTGAATTATGCATATTGAGAATCTGAAGAGTTTCTTCTTCTATTCTATTTTTCAGTTGGTAAAAATTGAGTATTGAGGTAATGTTTTCAACTTTATTTAGCTTATATTCTACCACAATAAATCTTTATTTGTAATTTTTATATTTCTCATGCAATTATAATTTTTTATATATATAATGTAATTTGTTTGTAACTGTAAAATGCTTTCATGCTTATTATTGCATTCAGTATCTGATGACACCCGTTTGTTTCCCAAGGCTGCACACTGTGTATTGGCTCAAAACCCTGAGAATGTGGCACTTGCTCGCTTCTATTGTCATACAGAAAAAATGATCAGCAAGCGACTGGTGCTTAGACAGTAAGTATACATTGCTTGTTTGAATAGACCTACAGTTCTACTTGAGAACATAATCTTGCTTAGCAATATAGAGAGACATTTTGTCCTTATTTATTTATATAATTTCCAAACACACGTGAATTTGAGCCTTCAGAAAAATTACATTTAAATATCATTACCTTGGCATATAATATTGGAGATTGGCAGTAGTTCATTTGTGCAAGAATAGTCATCACTACAAATTAATGCCAACACATCCATGTAATAATTGCAGTTTGCATTATTGTTTTACATACCTTAAAGGATCACTATAGGGTCAGGAACACAAACCTGTATTCCTGACCGTAAAGTGTTAAAACCACCATCTAGCCCCCCGGTCCCCTCATGCCTCCCTAAAAAATAGCAAAATCTTACTGTATTCAAGCCTGAAGCTGTAACTCTGCATGCTGTTTGCCTCAAAAAAACAAGCAGTCTGCTGACATCATCAGAAGTGGTGGCCTGATCGAATCACAATGCTTCCCCTAGGGATTGGCTGAGACTGACAAGGAGGCAGATCAGGAGCAGAGCCAGCATGATTAAAACACATCCCTGGCCAATCAGCATCTCTTCATAGAGATTAATTGAATCAATGAATCTCTATGAGGGAAGTTCAATGTCTGCATGCAGAGGGAGGATATACTGAATGTTTGGATGCATTTTAGGCAGCCATGACTCAGGAAGGATCTCTGACTGCCATCTGAGGAGTGGCCAGTGAAGTTATCACTAGGCTGTAATGTAAACACTGCATTTTCTCTGAAAAGACAGTGTTTACAGCAAAAGGCCTGAAGGTAATGATTCTACTCACCAGAACAAATTCAATAAGCTGTAGTTGTTCTGGTGACTATAGTGTCCCTTTAAGTTACTATAATTTATGAAGGAATTTTGTAAAATTAATCTACAATTCTGCCACATTTTAAGCCATCCTTTTGTCTTATCTCCAGGGACCCATCAATTAAAAGAACTATATGCAAAAGGTGCAGCTCTCTGCTTCTTCCTGGAGTCACCTGTACTGTACGACAAAAAAGTAAGCACTTTCTTAGGTATGAAATGTGAAATATAACTTATTTAAACAGCTTGCCTTTAAATACACTTGTTACAACAAACAGACCATTTAATATTAAGCTATATGTTTCTATTTTAAATTTAAAAATACATTTTAAAAAACTTTAGGAAAAATAAAATGTTTGCGTTACTTGCTTATAATTTTTACATTCTCATCCCATACAATAAAGTTTTTGGTGGTCACGTAAAATATGATTGATGCTAAAAAAATATATTTGTACCTTGGGGGGGTGAATCTGGTACATCCAGGGAAAATAAAGCCCCATATGAAATATTTGCCTTAAAAAGTATTTGCAAACTTATTTGCTCTACTGACAGTAGAAGAGCTGATCCGGAATCTGCATTATTTTTTTTAAGCTACAAAAATGCAATTCTTAAAGGGACACTACAGTCACCAGAACCACTAACGGTTCATGTAGTGATTCTGGTGTCTATAGCCTGTCACTGAAGGCTTTTCAATGTAAACACTGCATTTTCAGAAAAAGGCAGTGTTTACATTGCTCACTCAGACAGCCACTAGAGGTGATTCCTAGTGCAATGCTGCATGGAGGCGCTGAATATTCCCCATAGAGATGCATTGATTTAATGCATCTCTATGAGGAGATGCGATTAGTGCATGCACAATAGCCTCCCAATGGTTGGCGGAGATCATGAAGATTGATTATCTCAGCCATGGAGGTGGGGTCAGCCACAGCGAGACCAGCACGACATGGGAAAAATCTTTTCCATGCAATCGGGGGGCGGCACCTAAACAGAGACACACTCTCTTACAGACAGACACTCAAAAATTATCTATATAATTTTTTTAATCCAATTTACATCCACCTAGCCTCCGTACATTTTGGAGAGCGGATGGATCAGCTTTTCCTCTGGTCCAGTGAGGCTGCTGTCATCTTCCTGCTCTGCTCCCTCCCTCCCGCCATTTATGATTTCAGCATGCACGAGTGAGCATAGCAGGAAGATGACAGGTCCCTCGCCGCCTGCCTCTGCTTTCCATCAGCCGGCCCCCTGCATTCTTCCTTGCCGCCTCCGCTGAAAGAATCCCAGGCATCAGGACGAAACTCCTAGTACACATGGCGACCTGGATTTTGGACCTGGATTTTGTCGAGCCCTGTTCTAATAAATCATATATGTGGGTCATCTACAACCAGGAACATCTATTGAAATTACAGGCACACTCCAAAGTCTCCCCATGGTGTGTGAATTATGAGCACTGTGTGCTTAGTGTTTCTAAAGCCGGCTGTCATAAGTGCATGGAGAATAAATGCGGACTATGTTGGTGGGACTTAACTCCTAAATCAAAACTGCCCATCTCGAATTGGGACCGTTGGGAAGTGTTCGATGTAAATTTTAATTCGTATTTTCAATTATCATGTTTTGAATTTCTTTTTTTTCCCCATTAAAAGTAATGTCTTTTGAACACAATTTTTTTTACATTGATTTTTTTTATATATAGAACACCGTGGGCAGAGGCAAACTGTTGTGCGATGTTTGAGTTGTGGCCTAATTAAACGGTTTCTCAGTAACCCAAATTACAAGTTATGGTGTGAACAGCCAGAGGCTCTACTCGAAAATCAGCCAAAAGCAGGTAACTATATTTCTAGTTAATGAGTGTAGTTTGCTTTTCAGCAAACTTACTAAAAGTCATTCGGGTTTTGTTTCAAAAACACAAAAAAGTGTGATCATGCAGACTGGCAATTTCAGCTTTTGAACCACAATTAACTAAAGTTTACAGATTTTTTATATATATATATATATATATATATATATATATATATATATATAATTTTTTTTTAATTTTTTTTATGAAGTTTTATAATTAACAATATAACATAATGTCTTCTATCAGAAGTTCCTATGTGCTGTAAGTTTTCCCCCTCGACACAAAGTGTAAACCTTTTACAGTGTAATTTGGGTCTCTGCTTGTCATCTTCTCATTTACAAAGAGAGAAACTTTATATGAAAGCACCCTGCAACATTTATCTTAACCCCTTAAGGACACAGCTTCAGAAGCTTGACTTACGCTTAATGACACAAGCAATTTTTGCATTTTCTTGCTGTTTGCGTTCAACTGCAATTTGCATCTCTCTCATTTATTGCACCGACACATATTATATACTGTTTTTTAAAGGACAGAAAGGGCTTTAATTTGATATAACATATATATATATAAATGCTTACTTATTATAAAAAAAATACAGAAAAATGCAAAAAAATGAAAAATATTGTTTTTTTTTACAGTTTTTGCAATAATAATGTGTGCATAATTAGTGCAGGTTAAGGAAAGTAATTAAAAATAAATTTATTTATTTGTTCTGATTTACAGAATATATAATGTGTCTGGGATTTTAAGTTTTTTTTGGTAGTTACAGGTCACAAAGCACAAGTAGTAAAATAAACTTTTAATGTGGAGCGATTTTAGAATTTGGTATGTTTGTCTTGTAAGCTTAATAGCCATAAAAGAAAACAAAATTGCCACACAAAAGTATATATTTATATAAAGTAGACATCACGGGCTATTTACCTAAGGTTGTTTTGACACTTTCTACGTAGCCATTTCACCGCCAACCTCTGCTAAATATTGGAGTAAAATTGTGTTCTTTTTGGTTTTTGGCACACAAACTTATAACAGAGAAATTCTCGTGTATATTTTGTAAAGTTGGTGTGTGCTATTCCTGTACAAAGTTTTATTTTGTGTTCAGTTACATCTGCTGAGTAAAATGACACCCCCATTGTATGTCTTTTGCACTATTTCGTGAAGTTACAGTGCCATACAGGATACCTGTCCTTTTCAGTATTCACAGTAGAATTTTGAGAGATGGATTTAATGAGCCTTAGCTTCCATTTGGGGTATTATAACAGTTTGACTGTTCAAAAACCCCCACAAAGGCCTACCATTTGTAAAAGTAGACACTCCAGGGTATCTCATAAGGTGCATATTGTGCCTTAACATACCCCCATTTTTTCACCAATATACGCCAAAGTATGTGGTAAAAAATAATTTTGTGCATTTTTTACATACGGATTGCATTTTTGCTGGGTGTTTTGTATATTTCATATGTGCCACTAAGTTCAAACCCCCAAATTATGCTCAGCTAAGTCTTCTGAGTAAAATGACACCCCATATGAATGTCTTTGGCACTATTTCGTGAAGCTACAGTGCCATATAGGAGACCAAGCCATATCCGTTTTTACCAAACTTTGAATTTTGACGCTGGGCCTATGTGCAATTTCCAAGCATCTTCGCAGGTTTTAAATTCAAACTACCCCACAAAGGCCTACCATTTCTTAAAGTAGACACCCCAGGGTGTTTCAAAAGGTATAGTTTGAACCTTAGCGTGGGATCATTTTTCCGCTAGCTTGTACCAGATGTAGTGGTAATAAGCGTTTTTTCTGCCTTTTTGACATACAAAGTGAGTTTGCACAGTATATTTTGCAAACCTTATGTGTGCTACGACTGTATAATACTTCATATGTTGCTCAGCTATGTCGGCTGAGTACAGCAATACCCCCGTATGTACCTTTGCCAGGTATGTGTGGACATCGGAGGGGCACATTTGGGACACAGCCATTCCAGTTTTTTTCAAACTTTGAATTTTTATGCTGTGCCTATGTCCCATTTTAGAGTTTTTTACCAGGCTATATAATCCAAATTCCCCATAAAGCCATACCATTTCTTAAAGAAGACATCCCAGGGTATTTCAAAAGGCATATTTTGAACCTTAGCGTGGGATCATTTTTCCGCTAGCTTGTACCAAGTGTAGTGGTAATAAGCATTTTTCTGCCTTTTTGACATACAAAGTGAGTTTGCGCAGCATATTTTGCAAACCTTATGTGTGCTATGACTGTATAATACTTCATATGTTGCTCAGCTATGTCGGCTGAGTACAGCAATACCCCCGTATGTACCTTTGCCAGGTATATGTGGATGTTGAAGGGGCGCATTTGAGACGCAGCCATTCAGTTTTTTTCTAACGCTGAAGTTTTACGCTGTGTCCATGTTCCAATTTGGAGTAGTTTAGACGGTTGGTTATTGAAACTTCCCCACAAACACATACTATTTATTAAACAATACACCCTGGGGTAATTCAAAAGGCATATTTTGAACCTTGGCGTGGGATAATTTTTTCTCTAGTTTGCTCCAGGTGTAGTGGTAATGAGCGTTTTTAAAATGTATTTTTTTACTTTTTATAACTTTTTACTTTTAAAAACTAGTTTTTAAACTTTTGTTTTGCTTATAAATTTTTTTTAAACTTTCCTAAACTTTCTTAAAACTTTTTTACAGATTTAACATTTTTCTAAGCTTTTTTTTTTACCGTTAACCCCTAACTAGCAGTACGCAGCAGTAACAGTAAATTCCCCATTTTCCCATAACTCCCACCCACCCCAGCTAGCAAAATATATAGTTATAAAATATTTAAATTAATTAATTAAATAAATTGAACCCCTGAGGGTTAAAAAAATAAATAAAAGTTAATCCTCAGGGGTTAAAAAAAATTAGATCACAGTATAATACTGTGATCTCTATTTGATCGCTGTAGGCAGTGATCGACTGGCAGGGAAGGGGTTAATTTTTATTTGGACTAGGTAAAGTGTGTTTTTTTTGTTTTTTTACTTAAATGTTATTAAAACATTTTTTTAAGCTTAATTTTTAACTTTTTAAAGTTTCTTTTAAAACTTTTTTTAACGTTAACCCCTAGTTAGCCTAACGCCAAATCCCCCAATTCCCCACTAACTTCCACCCACCCCAGCTATCTAAATATATAATTAAAAATAATTTAATTAATTAATTTAATTAATTTAACCCCTGAGGGTTAAAAAAAAAAAGAATTAACCCTCAGGGGTTAAAAAAAAAAATCAGATCATAGTAAAATGTAATCCCTGCCAATTGATCACTGTAGTCAGTGATCAATTGGCAGGGAAGGGGTTAATTTTTTATTAAAATGGGTAAGGGGGGGGACACTTTAAATAAACTTTATTTTTTTTTACAGCAGGGGGCAGGATCAGCACTGATCCGGCTCCCTGCACTTCACACAGAACCAGGAAGTGCAGGGAGCCGGTAGGTAAGTATGCAGAGCACATGTGCTCGCTCTGACTTGCGGTCAGAGCGAGCACATGTGCTGGGCAGCTGACCGGGTGCTCCCGGTATGCCTCTAATGCAGAGGCATACCGGGAGCACCATTAACCCCGCGATCGCTGCAATAGCGGCGATCCGGGGTTAATTTTACCGCGTGACGGACGAGGTCCGTCACCCGTCGTTAAGGGTTTCCCCTCTGTGACGGACCTCGTCCGTCACCCGTCCTGAAGGGGTTAACATTTAGATATTCTATTACGATATATAGGTGTTAAAGGGACACTATAGTCACCAGAACAACTACAGCTTAATGTAGTTGTTCTGGTGAATATAATCATTATATACAGGCATTTTCATGCAAACACTGCCTTTTCAGAGAAAAGGCAGTGTTTACATTGCCCCTAGGAACACCTCCGAATGGCCACTGGAGGTGCTTCCTGGCTCAGTGCTGCACAGTAGGCAGCTCTGCCATTCAGGGTCCCCACGCTCTGCATGGGGATGCTGAATTCTCCTCATAGAGATGCATTGATTTAGTGCATCTCTCTGAGGAGGTGCTGAGTGGCCAAAACAGCATTTGGCCCTGCCCCTTGTCGATTTGGATTGGTTAAAAATCGGCAGTTCTGATGATGTTACCAAGGGGATGGGGCCAGTGCCGGCAGACTCGCACGGCACTGGAAATAAGGTGCGTTTTTCATGCTTTTAAGGGGGAGGGCAAGCCACCTTAATAGTGGGTTTAGCACTATAGGGTCCCGAATACATGTTTGTGTTCCTGACCCTATAGGGTTCTTTTAATCTTCCTTTACTTGCTAAAAGTGGAAGTAGTAGAGCCCTTGGAACTAAAATAAAAAATAACTTTAAAAACTAGCCCTTACAAAAAAGGGGTAGCTGTAGCTGAGTGATCACCAACAACATTCAGGTACTGGAGTGATCATGCCGTTGAGTACTATAGATCAGTGTCTTAGTTAAGGGAATGTAGACTTATCTTTATTGGTATTTAAAAGCCATAAAATTCTTTATTTGTGAGTGATTACATTATACATACTTAAAAACGAGGGAAATCTCAATGTATCCTTCCTGGTAAAATAGCTTATAAATATATGTATGCATTTCCAGGATAGCAGTGTACATGCAAAGTAACACTATAGAGCCCACCTTTGCATACACGCTGTGCTGTCCAACTGTTCTCTCTGGAATTCAGCTTGTTTAGCACAGCCTTCCCTTCTGCTATTCTTTAATTCACTTAATTCTGAAGACTGCATCTCCCTTCTCTTAATTGAAACACAGATCTGTGATTTGCTCATCCTAGTGGCTGAAAGTTGTGCTGTGACTGCTGTTTTCTGAGAGGAAGAATAGATTGGTGTGAGTCTGTTTACATTGTGGTGGGAGTAAAAGTTATAAAAATTATTTATGCTCTATTATTTGTACACATTTGTTGAGTTGGGTGGGGTGAATGGATTGAATTGTTAACTCTAAGTGATAGCAGCACGTAACACTTGGTAATATGTTAACTTATCATAAGTATGTGCATGATCACTTTATGGGCACCTGATTTTGTGGTGGGAATACTGGAGAGTAGTTGTAGCATCTAGTGACAATAATTGTTATTTTATATGGCCAAACTTGAAAACTGCTTGGACAGATAATATAATCTGTGGAAAGGTATATTCTAGATTTATATTTTTGTTTTTATTGTATTGTTTTTTTTGGTTTGGTTTTTTTTTCACTCCCTCCAAAAACCCTTTTGTACAGTGATCTGAAGCCGATATGAGTGGTGTCTTAAATGTAACCTAGCTACTGCCTACAACTTTCTAACTGAAGATCATCACAGCCACCACACTTGGCTAGCTCCTGCTAATTTTGTTAGCAATTGTTGGTACTTTGTGCATAAATATTAAAACATTTGTGTGAGACCCCAAAAAGGAATGTGTGGACTCCCATTACAGAAGTTGTTCAGCTGTGGCATTTTACATTTCATTTTTCTACTTCTATATTTAGAAAATATGCACCCTATTTTTTTTTCTGTTTTTTTTTATATACATATATAATATACATATGTTGTTTTTTTATAAAATATGTAATTTTTTATTTTTTTGCCAGATATAAATCCCCAAAAAGAACCAAAAGAAAAAGAAACTAATTTGATGAATGAAGAAAAGAAAACTACTTCATAGATGACATTGTTATATCAAACTGAAAGCTTTGTAATTTGTTTTGCATGGCTGGTTCATTTATGTACATATCCTATACACCTTACAACATACTTTGAGCAAGATGTGAAAAAAAAGATTTATATTTATTTTTTATATTTCAGGGGTTTATTTTTATTTATTTTTTATTTCAATAAATACTGAAAGTTACTAATTTTTTGTTTTTATTTTTAAACTTTGTTCTGAAATTTTCCATGTCCCTGCATAATTAAAGTAACACTATAGGGTCAGGAACACAAACATGTATTCCTGACCGTATAGTGTTAAAACCACCATCTAGCCCCCCTGGGCTCCTCATGCCTCTCTAAATATAGCAAAAGCCTGAATCTGTAGCTCTGCATGCTGTTTGCCTCAGAATAGAAAGCTGTCTGGTGATATCATCCGAAGTGGTGGCCTGATCCAATCACGGTGCATCTTCATAGGATTGGCTGAGACCGACAAGGAGGCAGAGCCAGCACAATTCAAACACAACCCTGGCCAATCAGCATCTCCTCATGGAGATGAATTGAATCAATGAATCTCTGTGAGGAAAGTTCAGTATCTGTATGCAGAGGGAGGAGACGCTGAATGTTTGGATGCATTTTAGGAAGCCATGACCCCCAGGAAGGATCTCTAACAGCCATCTGAGGAGTGGCCAGTGAAGTTATCAGTAGGCTGTAATGTAAACACTGCATTTTCTCTGAAAAGACCGTGTTTACAGCAAAACGCCCGAAGGTAATGATTCTACAAAAAAGGATACTCTAATGAGGGGAGGTAACCCCCAGGTTGAATACACTATTAAACAAAAGAAACACAAGCGTTAACCATTTGGAAGATAAACCCTTTTGTGCAAAGAGTAACCCCAATAAAACGTAACTTTTAAAATATTTCATTTAAAATACTCTGTCACGGATATAATTGATTTCTGTAATAGGAAAAAATCCTACAAAAAATATTACCAAAAAAATATAATAATGAAGATCTTAAATATAGTAGATGGGTAATCTAGGTGGAAATAATAGATAATTAAATAAGTGATGGCTTGGTGATGGCACCATGCATAGCAATGTGTGGAATTTTTTTTAAAACGAAAGATAAAGTAACAAAAGGATAAAGGTTACATTTGTAGCATAACCAATTAGCCAGGAGGGGAGAGACACAACAGAATAGCAGATATAATAATAGAGGGAGGAGAAAGCCCTGCAGGATAAACCTGAATATAGATGGAAACTTCCCTATTCTGCTGTGCCTTCCAGGGCACCCATTAAAAAATGCTATTTCCCCCCACCTCCTCTCTGATGTACAGCCTGATAACCTATGGAAAGCTGAGTGGCTGTAAAGATAACTCATAGATATAATCGGCTATAATGGATTGTAACCAGATGAAATATATAGAGAACATAAATAAAAAAAATGGAGAAAAGAAATAAAATCAATACATAAAGTATGGGTGGTAATATCTTTTAGGTATTAATGCATGTCATCCCATATCTCTAGACCAACACCATACTATGTAACGTCCAGAGGCGCGTTTTGACATTAAGGCACAGGGAACAGGAACAGCCAATCAGCCTCGTCTTCATAGCATTATAGGCAGTGTCCAGTACATTACTTCCTCTTTCTTTGCTGCTCCCTCAGTTAAGTGACACTGGGTCCCATGATTCTTAACTGTGGGATCTTTTACTTTATTCATATCATTACTGTGGTTAATATAGTTATTATAGTTACTGTATATACTAGAGTATAAGCCGAGTTTTTCGGCACTTTTTTGTGTTGAAAAAGCCCCACTCGAGTCAAGGTCATTACAAGCCCGGCGGTCCTGGGGGGAGGGCGGCAGCAAGCTGTTACTTACCTTTGTAGCAGCTCCGGTCAACTCCCCCGTTCAGCTCACAGTGTAAGTCTCGCGAGACCCGCGGCTGTCAGAGCACAGACCACGAGACTTACACTGTGAGCTGAACGGGGGAGGTGACCGGAGCTGCTACAAAGGTAAGTAAAAGCTTGCTGTCCCCCTGCACAGCCCATGCCACTGGACCACTAGGGGGGACAACAACAAAAAAAGGGGGAAAAATGAAATATTAAAATAATATTAAAATAAAATTAAAAAAGTAAAATAATAAACATGCCCTCCCCCCACCCAGTTTACACACACTAAGCAAACACACACACACACACACTGCAATCATTATATATACACACACTGCATTATACACACACACGCACTGTAAATAAATATTCAATTAATGTAATTTTATTGGGATCTATTTTTATTTAGAAATTTACCAGTAGCTGCTGCATTTCCCACCCTAGGCTTATACTCGAGTCAATACGTTTTCCCAGTTTTCTGTGGTAAAATTAGGGGCTTCGGCTTATATTCGGGTCGACTTATACTCGAGTATATACGGTATTACATTTTAATTATATTTTCATATTTATAAATATATTTAGTTACTTCATTTTAACTTAATTTGATTTATTTACTTAATTTGCTTTAGTTATATCCTTTTTTGTATATCCTATGATAATTTCTTTCCCCTCTGACCTCCCTGGCCCCAAGATTACCATCAATTGGGGCTCAGGGGCATCTTTATCCCCTGCACAGTGCTATTGCACTGTTTTTTCCCTTCATTCATCTGTCTGGCCACTGCTCTGATCCCAACTGACAGAAATCTAAGTTGGGGTTTAGTTGTCCGGGCAGCTCCTGCCTTTTCCTATTACAATTGCCATTTTTTCACTATTATGAGTACTTTCATTTCTTTATCCTGTTTAGTTATTTATTTATTTTTTATTTGAGAGTTACTCAACCCTTTCCTTTTAGTATTATTTTACTTTATTCGTCCCCATAGGTTTGTTTGTATATTTATGATGTAGTCTGACAGGATCTTTCTGTGCCTTCTGGGACTACAGCAAACATGCAGATTAATGTAGAAGCCTCTCCAGGTATCTCTGGAGATTAAGCAGATTTTTCTGCTGATTTTACTGATCCTGCTGACATGCAGGCTTTAATTAACACTTCCATGGCAAAAACAATGACAAAGGCCCTGGTGTCAGTGATGGGGGTTATGTCTAATTCACTTTCACAGATATTTGCCCAGACCCTGTTATAGGCACAGAGATCGGCTCAGCCGACTACTCAGGCAGCAGTACCTGTACTCACACCAGCTTTGCTTCATCCTGGCCGCAAGCCCTCATATAAGGCTAAACACACCTCCAAAACAATACAGATGGACAGTGCCATACCTGTCACGGATGGTGCAATTAATTTACCACTGTGCAAAAGAACCACTAGTCGGGCAAAATCGACTAGACTTTGGAAAAGGGCAAAAGCCCAACTGAACTCTGAATTTGAGCTCAGTGATATCAAGGAAGAGTTCCCTGAGTCCCATATGGAGGATTCAGGAGATCTTTCTGGTCCTGATTATGAAATTACTGATGAAGAGGATGCTAATCTCACGCGGGATACACGTCCTATCAAACCTACCAAGATTGAGGTAGATCATTCAGCCTCAGGGAACACAATAGGATCTTGGACACTCAATGTGAATCCCTATTCAAACCTGACGACCTATGTCACCCAGTGGTCTCCTCAGACCACATTGAAAAGTATATTGCATCCAGAGTGCGCAAGCCTTTTGAGAAGGCAAAGTTAAATAAATTGCAGGTGGAATGCCCACGCTGAACAGTCGCTGATGACGCATGTAAAATGCTATCAGTCGATCATAAGATCATTTAATTCCTGAGTAAGACAGGATGGAAGCCTACTAAAGGCTTAGATTTTCATTGCAAAACTGTCAGGATAAAATCCTGGACATCTTGCTCCCAGCAGCCAAGATCTTTGAAGCAGTAGAAGATGATTTATCATCTTAAGTGGTTAGATCCAGAGAGTGATTTAAGTTGGCAACGGCAACAATGCGGTTGTCACAGAACGCCGCAAATTGATCTTGCTCAAGATTGAGCCCAAACGTGTAACTATGGCTCTGAACGAGCCAGATAACACAGGCAAAAGGTTTTCTCTTTGGGGACAACTTTGTAAAAGAATTGGACTCCTTTGTCCGGCTGAATAAACAGAAGTTCTTTTAGACAGAACAAAGACTCATTTACTGGCCAAGCCGATTTCTTTTAACAGTGCACTATACCAACCTTCTTCCCACGACGTGGTCAACCCTGGGTTGTTAGTGGCCTATGAGGTCCTCCTTCAGGATGAAGACCTTATGGTAAGTCTTCTCAATTTCCATTCTTCCTTACTGATAGTGGGGAGAAGGCTCCCACATTTTTCCCATGTATGGTCCCTCATTTCATCAGATGCTTAGGTTCTTCACACTGTGAAAGGGTTTTGCATAGACTTCCTTTCTCTACCTGTTCAATGTTCCCCATCGAGTGAAATAGTTTTTCCCAACGAGACACAGACCATGTCTCTGTGGAAATAAAAGAACTGATGCGCAAGCAAGCCATCGTAGAGATTCTGGCCCATACCCTGGGTTACGTGAGCAACCTTTTCATGGTTCCCAAAAAAGGCAAAGGTCATAAATTTCAGACAGCTCAATGGTTATGAGGCATATCAGCACTTCCAAGATGGAAGGAGGGCATTGCATAAGGGATCTTCTCCAACCAGCAGATTGGATGGCTAAATTGGATCTGCAGGATCGCAGTGCAACATCAAGATCAAGAACTTCTTGCAGTTCACATAGTAGGGCAGGAAATGGAGGTTCAGGTGCCTCCCATTCGGACTATCTTCGGCTCCATGGTACTTCACCAAGCTCATGAAACCTATGGTCGCCCTGCTACAGAGCCTGGGAGTACGTCTTATAATATATTTAGACAGCATTTTCATTCTGGCTCAATCTATTCAATTAACCTGGACATACCTTGCATGGACTTTGACTCTGTTAGAGATCCTAGGCTTCCTGATCAATTGGGAGAAATCCATTATCGTTCCCACGCAACAAATCAAATTTCTGGGTTTTATTGGATTATTGTAGATTCCTACCCTTCAAACTCTACACTTTCCGGTGGCAAAATTAGCCAATATCAAGAAGGAGATAGGCGAACACTAGCAACCTCTCAACTCTCTCTCAAACAACTGTCGAGAATGTTAGGCCTTCTAGCGGCATTTATACAGGCCATGTTTCAAGATCTTCTTGGCTATTGAGCCCTACAAGGATTACAAACTACATCTCCAGGGCAGCGCATCGACACTCCACATGAATTGTTTGGACCTTCTGGCCGGTTCCTTTGCGGTCTGAAGTTTCTCCCCAACTCAAGCCCAAATGCTCAACCCGTTTTTTCAGTTGGAGACCAGATCTGACAGCACTGGCTACGATTGTTTTCTCCCAAGATTGGTCTTCTTCAAGGAATTAGGAGGAGGGTATGGAAGGAGGAGGGACCTTTTATGCCTCTAGGCTCTTTCTCTCTCTCTTTTTTGTTATTGGTTAATCCTGTCCTGATCTGGTTAGGGGCGCAGCTACCCGTAAGTGATGCTGCCATTATAAATAGCCAGGAAAAGAAAATTACTAGGCAAGTATGTAATTTAATTTTCCGTAGTCGTGGTAGCGTAATCGCACTACCACGTTAAATGTAAAAATTGATTTGCGCCCCCCCAGCCAGACATAATGTTCCCTTGTCAGAGACACACACATTTAAAATGACCCTGCGGATGTCTCCCCTGAAGTGGAAAAATTATTTTAAAGGGAAACTGTAACCGCAGCTGGTTCCCTTATTTACCACCATAAGGTCTTAAAGCATAGACCTTAGCAGGGATAACCATAAGATATCTTAGCCATAATTTTATTTAGTTAGTAAGAGATCCTCTATTTAAAATATATAAATAAATTGAGAATACAATATAAAATAAGGATTGTCTTGGAAGCAATAAAGTTTTGTCTTTTAGATATTCTATAAAAATATAGACATATAAAATCCATTACAATAATTTATAGCAGAGTGTATAAGATTAAACTATATGCTTGCAAATATCATTTTAAATAGAATAACATACCCTCTTGAACATGTCAACATGTCTAGATCAAAGCCCCCTCTCATCTATTTTATAGAATCTATACTTTTCTGTGATTACCTCCAAAGGGGCCTCTGGAACTAGGGGGCTGAGAGGGGTGCTCATCCCAATAGAAATCTATTTCCAGACTTAAAGACCATGCCCATAAAAAAAAAAAGTGCCAGGAAAACAAACTTGTTTTCTTGGCACTGTAACTTCCCCCTCTGGAAGCACCTCTAGTGGCTGGCTGTTAGAGTTAACCCTGCAAAATAATTACTGCAGTTTATCAATAACTGCACTCATTATAATTGCAGGGTTAAACTGATGTGGGCACTGCACCAGTGGTCTGGGTGCCTACAGTGTCTATTTAAGCCAGCTTTCCTTTCAGCATAACTAATATGCCCTAACATGTGAAATTCACTTTGATTCTCAGTTTAGTGAATAGCCCTGTTAGAATGCCAGGCATAACCCTGATTGTATGTAAACAGCAGGCACTGTGTGACCCTCCCTCATACAGTGTTCCCTGGGTTCCCATGCCAGCCTGTGCACTGGCACTCTGTGTACACTGGACACACAGCTTGTGGTGAGCGGAAGTGACGTAATGAACTGCATGTTCGGTTGCCCGGGAGCTCAGAAGCTACGGACACCATGGCGGAGCGGGTGGACAGTGCCCATCAAGGGTCTTGTGGGATAACGGGTAAGAAACGGTTGGTCTCTCTACAACTGAGCGGTGTAGCAGGAGGCCTGGTGATTGATGTAGCTGACACGGAAGGACTGAGCTCCGCTGTGTTGTTTTGATGCCCTTCGTTACAAGTGTTTGACGCGCGGACAAAAGCTACCTGGGCGCCGCCGCCAGGGTTTCTGGGGAGTGTAGTTCGGCAGCTTACCTAACTAAGGTCAGTGATTGCGCTGTGCACTACATCTCCCAGAATCCCATGCGAGAAAGTAAACAGCCGTTTAACTGACAGCCAGGAAACCAGCGGAGTCAATGTGAGGCAGTGTCTGGTCATCTCCACTCCATCAGCATTATTATTATTATTATTATTATAATAGCATTGCTCCATCTATTACACACTGCGTGCAGGAGCTCACACACTGAGGCAGGTTTATATAGTGTGGCCTTATACTTGGAGTTACCTTAATATATATATGACCGTAATTATAGACACACCGACACAGAGAGAGAATTAATTTTATATACAGTAGCTGTGTCTTCCATGTATGCATATATATTTGGTATATTAGATGCAGTATGTAATTTTATAATGGTCTTTTCATGCCACCCTATAGTAAGATATATGCATCCATTGAAGCATTGATTTGGGATATTTTCATTTGAATTGGAGAGATAATAATTGTACAGCTATTTTCTGACACAGATTACTAGTAGTTGCCATCAGTTCATTTTCTGTAGCTGTGTCCATAAACAACAGATTGCAAGTACAATGGGAGTTTCACTTTTGGCTTGTGAAAATCATGGTGAGTATTGCATGGGTTGTCTTTACATTACTAACACGCAATTTGCCATTTGTGAGGGATTTACAAAGAACGTATTAACATTTGGTGCCTCTTAAATGTCTCCTTGGCAAAGTGATTCGCATGTCCTGTTGTATCACAACGCTCTTGCCAGGTGGTTCATTTTGGGTGTAATTTAAAGCTGCATCTTCCAGTGAAACCTTTAATTTGAATGTTGCCTTGCAGCATTTTGTTATTTTTGTATATGCAACCTGTGTAAAAGGAGAGAATATGATACCCCAGAAAATGAATGATTTTTGAGGAAGTCTTTTATCTTGTAGATGTTTAGAGAGTATGTGGAATTTGTTCCTTGACATGATTGTTACCCAATTAGTGTCTTCTTTAAATGTAGAAACTTGTTTTAGTACATATTGTTGTGATGCCTGTAACTAAAACAATGTAATGATCCTCTAATCCTTCTTTTTAATAAATTGGTAATCTTCTTACTTGCAATCATCTGCTTAATCCCTCAGGTACAGTGGTTGAATTGGCAGGACAGGGTCTTCAGAAGCTGGGCCCCACATTACCATTTAATGCTGATACTTCAACATTGATATTAGACAAGAACCAAATCATCAAATTGGAACATCTTGAGAAATGTAAAAACCTTACACAAGTGAGTAAATATCGGTTTATTGCCATGTAAAGGGGGAGCTTTGCTTAATTTAACATCTTTGATTTTGCTTAAGCTTACATTGTTTTACAAATCTATGTAATTTTGTTAACTTGATATGATATCTCGCTTGAGTTTTAAGATATATTTTTATGTAACATTGTATTGAGCCAAAGACCAGCAAAATTCAAATACCAAATGCGTACATCCAAAAGTTTAGAGATGTTTCTGACCAATACGAAATATACTTACTTGACATTTACATCCTTTTAAGATGTACTGTCAATGGAGGGGTTTGTGAATATACGTGACACGTCATATATCATTGCTCTCTTGGCACACAGTACACAGAAGACTCCAGGGTGGGCTTTATGGGGAATCATTATTATTGGGATGGCTGCTGCTGCCTACAGTAAAGCCAGCAGGCATCAGTGGGTCTTGTATCTGGAGTTGTGGATATGTATGCATACAAATTAAATGGGGGAAAAAAATAAATAAATTATATTTATTTATATATATATATATATCTATCCATAAGGTACGACTGATATTTTGCCTGGCTTCTGTCTTTTGTTGCTGGCTCCTAAAACCTTGGGAAGTGTATCAAAGGGAAACCTCATGCAGAGCGTGAGGACATCCAGTGTCAGGCTAACAAAAGCTGAGTTATGACCTGGAAGCGCCTCTAGTGGCTGGCTGTTAGTTAACCCTGCAAAATAATTACTACAGTTTATCAATAACTGCACTCATTATAATTGCAGGGTTAAACTGATGTGGGCACTGCACCAAGACCACTTCAATGAGCTGAAGTGGTCTGGGTGCCTATACCGTCCCTTTAAGATATATATGCAGACACTGCCCCATTAATTACTTTCTTGTAGGAATACATTTGCACACTTCCACGGTCTGGAGTTGCTAATAAGCAGTGCACAAGTTAAATGTTTGGGTTTTCCTATTTACTAAGAAAAATAAATTACGTTGTTGCATGCTATATAAAAATGTATTTTCTCACCCAGAAAAGTTTTAATGTCCTTCTTAATCAGATGCCAGGCGCTATAGCACATTCTGCTTACAGCTCCATTTACACAGTTGTGATATTTATCCAATAAAGAAAATTGAACAGATTCAATAAAAAGTAACATGAAGTTATTTCCTTTTTTTTCTCATGTATTCTATTCTCTTGTGTTTATTGAAGAAGTACATAATTACAGTTATGATCCTGCAAGACATGTAATTTGTATTCTCTCCTTTTTAATTGCTTTCTCTTTGCCAGTTATCTGTAGCAAACAATCGGCTAGTACGGATGATGGGTGTGGCAAAATTGATACATCTCCGGGTACTGAACCTACCTCATAACAGCATTGGATATGTGGAGGGACTGAAGGACTTGGTGCATTTGGAATGGCTTAATCTGGCTGGGAATAATTTAAAGGTACTTAGTTTGCAAATCCTCTTTCTTTGCTTGGAGACAAAAATGCAGAGTGGTTAACTCAGGTAGCACAACAACTTCAGCTCCCTGGTGCAAACACACTGCCTGTAATGGGGATATATTCGCTCTCGTACTGGGATGTAGCTCCACCTCAGGCTTCTGTCAATCAGCTAGATCTCACTTCTCCAACAAATCTCTCCAATACAACATTATGGACCAAATAACAGCAACAACCTGAAACTCCCTCCAATCCTTCTATAAAGTTTGGAAACCTTGGCTAGCTTACAAAAAGGAATTTCAGATTCCATAACGCAGTCCCCATTTCTCTTACACACCGCGATGGTCACCACCTCTCCCCTACCTTCCCACCGTCATACCCTTTACATGTAATGTAGTGTCTTGTACCATTGTACTCCCACACTGTTACACTGAGATTGCATTTGCCCATACTCTTGTTTATGCTGTTGAATGTAAACTAGTAAAAAAAAAAAAAAAGTAGATAAAAATAGTAAATATAACTGATCTTTGCATGCTAGTAAAATAAGTGGGGGAGTTTACCCCCTCCTAATAAAGTCACCACCTTTAAATCCTCTTTTTACAGCTTGCCTGCCTGCCCTATAAAGTACGTGTACTTATCTTTGCCCATTACAGAGTATAAGCAGCACCACATCTTGATCCATTGCAAGAATATACATATACTTTACAGGTGCACACAACTTTTATACAAATATAATAGTTTTAGATCTCAAAATTAACAATTCAAACATGTATTTGCAGTAAGCCTACTGGATGTTCTTAGCAGCCTCTCTCACTTATCAGCTTTCTTTTGAAACACTTAAATCCTTTGTTGATATTTATAAACTACAATCTATTATCATTGGTTATTTTCATTATTTTTCGATTTTATTTTTTTTATTCTTTTTTATTTTTATTTTTTATACTGTATATATATTTTTTTTAGGTCATTGATCAGATCAACAGTTGCATTTGTCTTCAGCATCTTGATCTCTCAGACAATAATATATCTCAAATATGTGATCTATCCAAACTAGTGTCTCTGAAGGTAAGTTCATACTTTTTGGTAACAGGACTGTGGGTACATTTTAATTGCAAAACCTTTGTAGTTGCAGCTTTCCCTTGTAAGTGTATCACTTTTTAGAAAAGATTATAATTTTATTTAATTGATTTACTCAGATTATCTCTGTATGATAGTTACTCCTGATATACAAAGTCATCTATATGGCACCAAGTTCCAGATGTTTCAACATCAACAGTTCATATAATATTGATTGAAGGCAAGATGGGATAACTATTACAGTTCCTGCAAATAAACCATTATTAAAAGTGTAAATTTTAAAAATGATATGCTCATGCCAAAGGTCACACATTTTAAAGTCCAAATTGAGTTTATGGCTTTTCCCTCTGGTTCTTGATTAAAAATGTGCATTAATTCTTGCCTTTGGCTGTTGTGTGGGAGCATGGATCTTTGGCTTTCCATATTCATCTGCGGTGCGGTGTGAAGGGGTGTACGGAATCAAACTCATAATGCTAAACATTCACAATATAGAGTCATACACCAAAATTGATTATTACCTGGCACTGTAATTTTCTATGGATTGCAATAATTTCTAAATATATTACATGAACATATAACTTTATTTTTTTTCACGACAATCCTAACATGCTTTTAAAACTGAAGCTAGCTTGATCTGGATGAGGCAAAACATGTAATTGTCTTTTCATCTTCCTTTTGTAGACTTTGCTCTTGCATGGCAACAATATTACTTCTCTACGTACTGCGTCCTTAAGCCTTCCCCAAGGCCTCACCATTCTTTCCTTGGCAGAAAATGAAATCCGAGATTTGAATGAAGTAAGTGCAAGCTGACTGAACAAGGTCTGAAAATCATCATGGGCAATAAATCACACACGGAAACTCATTAGTTATGATGAGCTGCTAATTTTATACATAGGTCATATATATATATATATATTTATTATTATTATTATTATTATTATTATTATTATTTATATATATATATATATATATTTTTTTTTTTATAAAATGCACTTTATTACACAGGTACAAAAATCACAGGTATTACACAACACGGAACAGCAAATCCCAGCATAGACAAGACAACTCACATACACCCCATATGAAACCTGTATCAAAATCAAAGGAAAAGCATAATCCATTACAGATATGCAGAATGAATAGTTCCAATCCGGATTTAAAATATAATGGATACCTGTACAAAAATAACCACTAAATAATAATACATACCAGATGAAAATAGAAATATCATAATGAGTGAGAAGAGGGTGAGAAATAAAAAAAATAGCCCCCAACATTTCGGTGTATAAGCCTTTATCAAGGGATCATACGGGGCATATATGCACGGTCCCATCCACACTGAGATCTGCCGTCAAACACTGTGCAATATCCGTGATCCCTGTTTTGAATGTTTTTTATTTTGTTTGTAGTATGATAGCAGGTTCATAACAAGGAGAAAATTAAATGTGGCGTTGCCTGCGCAGAGGCTCATTTTAAAATATATGAATTAGGGTGCATGGGCCTACGCAGAGGCCTGTTGTAGCTTTACAGTATAACATCAGTCATTAACACTTCATGAGCATTCTAATGCAGTGCTGATTACGTACGTTGTGGATTGCGTAATGAGGCAATTATTAACCCTATAAATGCAATTTTCCCTACAGAGTAAATGCAGACTTTAGATGACTGACCCGGTAGGGTGCATAATAACCTGTGCTGAATCATAAACATCAAATAATATGAGCATAACTGAATCTAGTTCAATTACCAAACAGTCACTCAATTTATCATCATATAGAACGCATTACTTCTGTATGTGCAATGGCTAAGTAGCATTATATCCGCTGCATAACTATGCTTGTAGAATATATATGTGTATCTATGTTCTCCTGGACCATCCTCTTAGCATGGCGACTGATTTGTGTAAAACGTGTAGCAAACTGGGGCGTTAACCGCAATCCTTAATCATGTGTAATCAATTTCCCCTGCAAAATAACCTATGCCTGTAGTGTACCTTATAGAGCATATTCAGTTTTAGGCCAAGGTACACTAATGTAAGTATTTAACGTTTAATGCCGCTATCAGGCGTGTACGGTTGCTAGATTAATAATGAGTGTAAAGGATTACTTTAAAAATAACAATTCAACTATAAATGCTGTATAGAAGCTTAAACCGTTGTTTAAGCGTATGGTAGGGTTAACGTATTTGGCAGAAGTATTATATTAATCAGGTATCTTGAAGCAAAGATAAAGCGTATCCATGGTCGTTATAGCTTCTTCTGGTTAATTACAAAATAGGTATGCCATGAAATTAATGTAGAAACATAAAAAATAAAAATAAAAAAATAAAAATTAAATACATAATAAAAAAAATAAAAAAAACCTTCAGTAACAAGGTGTATCCTAAGCTAGGTCTATGCAACCATATTAGGGGAGTCTCTCCACTGGAGGTGGCGTTGTGGTGCCCGGTGGTAAAGAATGTTCAGCGTGAGGTCAGTGGCCTCTTGTGAGGTATCTGTGTGGGCTTTCCTCTGCTGTGTCCTCTCGCAGGCTTATGCCTGGAGTGCATATAATTGCCAAGCTGGTCGCTCATTGCAGGGTCCCCCCAGCTCCCCTGGTGTGACTTATCCCCTCTGTTCCCCTCCAGGCCTGCTCCGGCCGATCATTCGAGGGTTCCACAATGCTGTGGGCACTCAGGGACGTCAGCAGCCCGGCAGACTCCCCCCCCTGAAAAGTCCTCGGGCCCCTCGTCCCCTGCACCTCCAACTCCTGCAGTTCCCCGTTGAGCTCCAGCCCCGTTAGGCCTCACCCCTCTCCGGCCTCTTGCATGTCGCCGGCGCTTGTCTCCCCAGCCACCGGTCCGCCGGGGGTCCAACTTACCCCGAAGCCATAGGGCTCACAGAGTCGGGGGCCAGGCCTCACCGGACCACCACCAAGTCCAGGGGTTCGGGCCGGCTCTGCGCCGACCGGTCTGCCGCCCAGTGGAGTCCGTCTGTGGGATCCGCCACCCCTAAGGGTCCAGGCGTTCCCGTGTGGCTCCCAGTAGCGAGCGTGTAACGCGGCCATCTTGACTCCTCGCGACTCATGGGCCGGGATCATCCCCGCCGGTCTGAGGGGGGGAGCGGGGCCGGGTCCGGTCCCCCCATCTCTCTCGTCTGGGCTCGCGGCTTCTGCGTGTAGGCCTCATGGGTTCATCGTGCTCCGGCAGGGCAGGCCGCTCAGCTCGGCGGCCCGGCCCCGCCCCCCGGTCATATACATTTTATTCATTGCAGTTAGTCTGATATTTTTATATAATTGTGTAAGTGCACCGAAGACATTTCGAAATACATAAGATCGCAGGGAGAAACTTATATTCCTGATACTTAACCTTTAATAAAGTATGTGTGAAGGAAGGGGTGTAAGCATGTTTGGGGCTAGTGTGTGTAATGCCAGGGTGCTTTTGCTAGGTTTTTATATACATGTCTGTGGCGTTATTTGTCCATATGTGTGTGTGTGTGTGTGTGTATGTATGTGTGTGTGTGTGTGTGTATATATATATATATATATATATAACGACAAGAAGGGAGGCTGCTCTCCGGATTTAAAACAAAAAAATGTATTCAAACATATTTAAAAACCACGACCGACGTTTCGGTCCCCGCTCGGGACCTTCCTCAGGGTCAAAAATAGAACAACAAGACTGTCTTCCCTTCTTGTCGTCATCTACATGCTTTGGAGCTCTGGTGGTGCGCCCAGTATTGGACCATATTGCAAGCGTGAGTGCAGGGGATATTTCTATTTTTTTATTTATATATATATATATATATATATATATATATATATATTATATAAAAAATCTCTCTCTCATTCCTACTTATGCTGTTATAGCTTTCTGAATGCTAAAGGAGTACATTCTCTGTGAGGCATGCTACAGAATTCTACATAAAGAGATTTCCTTTACAGGGCTAAAGAATGAGAAGCTCAGGAGGAAGTAGCTTTAACAGTGAAAATGAGCTCCATGTGCAGCTCCAGCACACAGCCATCACCTGGACTGCTATTACAGTGAGGAAGGCTTCCTACGCAGGAAGAAACAGAATGCAAAATGTGTACAATCAATGTGCAGATAATTGTTATACACCCAAAAATAAGATCAGTCTATACAGGTATGCATGTATTCCCATGCGGCCCCTGCTGGAGCAGAGTTTGTGCCTCTCTGTCATTGAAGCCTGTTGTTACATAGCTTTGCTGCTGACAAGTTGGTACAAATTATTTGTATTAATCTACTAAGACTAGAGTGTCATTTACAAATTTCCCACGCCTCATGAATGCTCTCTGCATTAAGCCTGACCATGTTGCTCCCTATTCTCCAGTATGAAAGCACAATATTAAAACAAAGTCGTCCCTCTATTTGCGTGTGTTAAGGGTTGCTTTCTTTTCTCTCCCTTGTGAACTCCATTCCCACCCCTCTCCTATCCTTTCTCTGTACCCCTGTAGCTTCCTGGATACCTAAACCCAATACCTCTAAGACAAATGAAACACACTCTGATAACCGATCTTTATAGCAAGATTTTTATTATTATTTGTATTGTAATAAAAAGGGCATATTGCACATCACAATCTGAATGTGACATAAATCTGTATCTGTGATTAAACGATGGAATCCGAAAGTAAAGCATGCAAATGCCACCCACACAACGTATAAATGTGGATAGTTTCTAAAAGATTCTATTACAAATGTGTGTTTGATTTAGTGATTCCTACAGATCTGAAAAAAGGTGTTCCAACAAATCTATCCCATATGAACTATAGTCTAGTCCAGAGAGCCATAAATGTACCCTGCCTAGGGAAAACCAGTCATTCCCTGGAGAATGTCCTCTTCATTCTGCTCAATCAGTCTTGATGGGTAGAAGATTGAGCATTCCTCCAGTAGAAATGAAAAAACAGAAATTATTGCATTTTAATATGACGTGTATGATAGTTTGTTTGTATGACTTAAGTAAGAGAACCGTATGATTAAGTAATATTGCTAAATATGTGCTTTTCTTTTTTTTCCTTTTTATAATTAATTGTAATATACACTGATAAAACTTTATATACTGTATTGTGTGTGGATTTCCTCCAGGCCTATACTTATACATTATATATTTCACCTTGTGATAATTGCGCATCATGTAACCTTAAAAGCTAAACCATGTCTGCACATTATATAGATGCTTGCATGCTTTTTAAAAGGTCAAAAATGATTTTTTTGTGAGTAAAAATATAAAAAGTTTATGACACAGTGAAGCATTTCTTGCCCCTTCTAATTAGATCTTGTCTGTGTGTTCTGATATAGTAGAATAAATAGCATTGACCTTGTGGTGTTCTTTAAAATGTCATGGCATGCCTATTTTGGATTTGTACATCCAAGGAAAGATGACTCTTCTAAACTCAGCAACACAAATTTATTGGAACAGTGTTACAATAAAGTTTGGACCCACAGAAGGATCTTTGTCAAGCTTGCCAATAAATTTGCCTTGCTGAACTAAGGAGTTCCCGGACCTTTTCTTCTTTCCTTGGACCACCTGTCGGGTTTGCAATAGCCCCTTGTCTGGTTGCACTCAGATCAATTGATTGAGTGCAGTTCATTTAAATCTGGTTGGTACATGTTTTGGATCTGTAGTGATATTTTAGTTATCACTGTGGACTATGTGTTATTGTATTTTGTTCTCCCTTTTTGATATTAAAGTTCTTAAAGGTTTTAGATTTCAATTGGTTCATATCGAACATTCCTTTTCCCATCCGTTATTAACTTAAATGTACTTTTACATAGGTATCATTCCTCACAGGTCTTACAAATCTGGAGCAGTTATCAATCATGAACAATCCCTGTGTGATGGCCACACCATCTATTCCTGGTTTTGACTACAGGCCTTACATTGTGAGCTGGTGCTTGAATCTCAAGGTTTTAGATGGATATGTAGTCTCCCAAAAAGAAAAGTAAGTGTTTACTGACAGTCAAATTTAAATTGAATTGTTAATAAATGTTTCCAGGACCTTGTGATGCATTGTTTTTTAATAATATGCAGTGAACCTTTTTATGTATCCTTTTTTTTTCACATACATTTTACACATTGTTTAAAGAAAAGGTTGACATGGTAAACTATACATTCTTTCAGACATGTAATGGAACTTGTTTGCCTTCTTTGCTGTCTACACATATTTAACTAGACCAACCAGTTGAGCTGCATCTCTACCAGCACATACAAATGTTAGTGCAAACATGTTCCTCTCATTGTTGTCATTGACATTTTAATGTGGCACCACAATAGAGGACAAACACCACATACGTGACACTGAGCAGATTCAAAGTCAGTTTTTGTGCGCCTCCCAGCCAGCTGATAAGGGCTTGTAACCAGGTTACCTGAGAACATGACCTTGTTGACATGCTTGTTACACTCTCTGCTGTGTAATTATTTTATTTTTCCTCTTAATTCTTTTCTGCTTATATCACAATATATATTCCTTATGTATGGACTTTTTATGACCATTTTGCAGCATTGTCCCATCAGGTTTTGACTTGCTCCTCTGCCACTCCAGCTACATGTTCTCACCATCTCCTCAGCCCCAGTAGGGAGATCTGTCTCCTTTAAGTACAGAGGCAATGTCCACACAGGCTTTCCACTGTTTCTCACACAATGGGAAAAAATGTGAAGTTTCCTATTGCTGTGTGGGATTTCAACATCCTTCATAGCTGAATTAAATTCTGTCATGTTCCTTTTCCTTCTCCAAATCCTTGTTGTTTGTGTTTGCTTGTTCCTCAACATCCTATATGTGATCATTGTCAACTTGGATTAATCTCTGTTTTTGATCCAGCTTTTTGTGGGTTTCCCTACCTGCCTGCTCCCTGTTGATCACCAATCAAACCTCCCACTCACACAGCGTTCTTGTGTCAGTCTTAAAGGGTTACTCCAACCACTATTCCTACTCTAGGGATTTGAAATGGTCATGGTGGTAGAAATCTGTATGTGAAATATTGCAAATACAGAGATATCTGTACTTTTGCCAGGGGCTAGTTGCACCTCTGGTACAAGTGGGTGTTGCAAACAGCCCTTTAAATGCATCGAGAACACTGTGGCTGAGCAAATTGCGCTGAGATGCAGTGTTTGTGGGCTGGCAGATGCTCAAGGGAGACCATCATGGTCCCCTAGCATGTTTTCATGCCGATTGTAATTGTTGCTGGGCTTTGCCTGCTGCCCAACACTGATCCATTTTTTTCAGCATTACAGGGATATGCCTAATTCTAAAATGAGCCAGTAGAGGGCAGCAACATACTCCTCTCTTTGTTACTGGAAAACTATCTGCCTATATTCACAGTGGGTTTCTTTTGTGTCGGGGTTAAGGTTTGAATCAGGTGTAGAGGTTGTGTTAGTTTTAGGATTAAGGCCTGTGCAGGGTTAGTGTAAGGGTTATTGCTGTCTTTGGATTATGGATAGTTTAAGGTTTAAGGCTATGGCAGTTAAATAGTTAGTGTTGCATCGTCTATCAATGACAGGAACGATACATGAATCTTTTTTCATTATTTTTCTTTAGTTGAACTGGAAGTGTAAAAATGATTAGATGTAAAAATGCGTTTTTTGTTCTCCCCCCTCACCCCTTACTGCATTCCCTCCCCCCCACTAAATGTTGTGTTGGGTATACATATAGAGTATTTAAAGAGTGGTCTTCTTGTATGTGTAAAAACAATGTATATTATGTATGGGGCAATTAAAGATAAACTTTTAAATTATGGGTGAGCGAACATTCTAGGTTTTGGTTTGGTTGAGAACTCCTTCCTTAAGTTGTTAATATTTGTAGTGTTTTTTTTTTCTCTTAATTGATCTAATCTTCTTATGGTTCCAGCCTGAAAGCTGAATGGCTTTACAGCCAAGGAAAAGGACGATCATATAGGCCTGGCCAACATGTCCCTCTTGTGCAATATTTGGCATCAGTATGCCCTTTGACATCGACACTTGGTCTTCAAACTGAAGAGGATGCAAAGTTGGAAAAAATATTAAATAAACAAAGGTAAATAGATTCATAACAAAGACTAAAAAGAGAAATCTTTAAATGGTGATCATGCTGCATTATATATCGCACCTATGCCCCTAAATATTTCTAGTGATGATGATTAGTGCAGAAAAGAAAGGAGGGACAGTAATATATATGTAGACATTTAAAGATCCTGTATTTGATGAAAATCCCCAATTGCCAGTAAATGAGGAAGTAATCCCTGCCTAGCTTATCACATAAACAATGCTTTATGGTTCAGTAAAGGGTTTTTGAGAGTTGTAATCTAATTGTTCGATTTTTCTGTACAGCTGTATTTTTGGAACAAAAAGTGAAACTCCAGAGGTAGGCAGAGGCTGAAATGACTAGCTTATAGAGTAAAACCAACAATATTTTTTTTAGTTTTATTAAACTCAAGCTTATAAAAAAAAATCCGTGTTCGGGACTGAAACATTGATGTTACGTAACTGTATTGGAAATAAAAGTTTAAGGGATATAAGGAATCCAGTGAGTGCTCTTCTTCTTGCTTATGTATTGTATCCGGCTGAGGAAGCACCTTGGCGAGGTGTCTGCCTGTCTGTCTGTCATTTTTGCACAACCTTAAGAGTGCAACCAGGTACTTATATACCTAACTGTGTGGGTTCTCTACCCAAGTCAATATATTGTTTTGTTCTTTTAGTAAAATAATATTTATATATAATCAAACCTTTTATGAAGGTTTTGTTACATTTTTCTAGATTATCAACTACTAAAGTCACCACAAGATGTCATCATTGTTCCTGTAGTGAAAGCATTTCTGCATGTTTCTGGTGACTTAACAAAGAGTTACTCCCAAGAACCATGGCACTTCAATGTTTTGTAATGGTTGCACTTGGAATCTGTATGTGCAGTGTTTCAAACGCTGCACATACAGATTCCAAGCGCAACCATTACAAAACATTGAAGTGCCATGGTTAAATTCCTTTGTTGCTTGTACATCCACCTCCAGCAGTAACATTAATCTGCCTGGATGAATATTTGGCATAATTGTTGTTGTCTGCTCAGCATGCATAGCCCCCTGTACCACTAAAGCCTTCCACTTAGTACATCCTCCTGGATATCGTTTTACCTGCAGTAAGGGGTAATAGTGTTATCGGAGGAGGATCTGGCTGTAGACAGCACATTGCTTAGGCCTTGAATCACAGAAAAGTTTATTCCTAGTTTATTTTATTTTTTGTTTTCTCAGGGGAAGGGGAGGGTACAAACAAAGGTTACTCTAATCAAAAACAGTGTTTTATTAAAACAGTGTATAGTGACTCTCAGGTTTTTTACAGTTTAATAAAACATTCTTTGAGCCATGGACTTTTTAATTACTTTTTTTGTGTACATGTATTTGGTAAAAATAGATTGGTCATTAAGCCATCAGAGTTTACATGACTGCCACACACTCATAGTGGTAATGTTAGTTTTTGGTTTCTTTATTAGACTACATCAGAGGCAGCTATTGCACCAGGTCCTTGTTGATGGCCACCTATCATCTACACCCAATAAAAGGCCAACATCATCTAGTGAGCAAAAAAGTCCAGCTCGGGGAGCCCAGCGCTCCCATGAAAATGGTAAGACAACCAGCTACTATCCATGTCTCATGTCATTTAAAAAAACTTTAAAGCAGATTTATATATTCTGTTTGCCTCCTTACTTCTCTATTTTTCTATCTAGATCTGCTTTAATTTGTCTTGACATGTCTGAGTAAAGACATAACTAGTGAATTAAAATTAGTTTGGTAATGATTTTTCATAATAACAAATGTTTATTCTCAATAAACTTTAATCATTGCAATTTAAATATTTTCGTAAGACCTTAGATTTTGTGTAGCATTGGATTTTTGTATAGAATTGGATATTTAGTTAAGGTTGTATTTCATAAAGATAGAATCTTTAAAGATGGGGACTACTTTGTCTCTGTATTTCTCCCCCGCTTGTCTTTCTTAGACTCAGGGCGGAATCTAAGTGTCAATCCAGACAGCAGTCACCAGTGACAGCTGCAGGGAATTAACTGTGTGAATCCACCATAGACCTCAAGGCTGTACTTTCGTGCATGTGCAAGAGTACAGCAGTGATGTCAACTCCTGACGCACAAGCGCCAGGAGCTGAAGAGAAACAAACAGAAGATGTAAATCTCACCTTGCCTGCCGTGTGCTTGCACTCACATTACATTTCCTGAAAATTAGGAGGTTGCATGCGTGTTGTCCATGTTAACATAGTAAAAGTACTTGAATCAGTAAAATAATCATTTGCATGAGAAATCCTTAAAAGGGTAGGGGGAGACAAGGCATGATTGATTAAAGGGAACCCATAGTGCCAGGAAAACAAAATCAATTTCCTGGCACTGTAGGGTTAACAGGTCCCCTTTCGCCTCGTGCCCCCCCTCTGGCGGGGTGAAGGGGTTAAAACTCCTTCAGCCACTTACCAGAATCCAGCGCCGATGTCCCTCGGCATTGGGTCAAGCTCCGCCCACGCTCCTCCCATACCGCCGCCGGGGGAGACCTAATGTGCATGCGCGCCAATGGCCGCGCTCACGCATTAGACCTCCCCATAGGAAAGCATTATTTAATGCTATGGGGAAAATCTGATGCTGGAGGTCCTCATGCAGAGTGCGAGGACCTCCAGCGTCAGATAACGGACCTAAAGTCTGCTTGGTGCACCCAATGGCCGTCTGGTAGACAGCCACTGAGTGCAGGCTTAGTGCTGTAATGTAAACATAGCAGTTTCTCTGGAACTGCAATGTTTTACATTGCAGCACTAAGTGTAAAAGGAACAAAGCACCTAGACCACTTCAATGAGCTGAAGTGGTCTGGGTGCCTACAGTGTCCCTTTAATAAGATGATAAGGGAAATTTGTAGCACTTTTAAGATGCATTTTAAGTTACTGCTTCCTAGCACTATAAAGGAAAACGCTGTGCACTTGGTTAATGTTCTTTCATTATCCAGGTAAGCTAATCAATAGATTTCTATTTGAATCCCTTTCAGCTTTGTTGAAGGTACCAAATGACTGTCAATCTATGGACAAATTAATTGATTTGTTCGGTCTTTGCTTAACAAAACAACTTACTTATCCATAGATTGACAGACATTTGTTTTGCTCAATGTGGCTCAACGGGATTTGCACACAAGTAAACTAAATCAATCCGTAACCCTTCTCCTTACATTTTTGTTAATATGTTAAATGAAGTAACAAAATATGTGAATAATTTGAAAATATATAAATTGTTTTAAGTGCAGTTTTATACAGTGCTTATCATAAGTCAATAAACTAAAAGTGAAAATGAATGCTCTTTTTGAAAGACTTGTTTAATGAATCCACATCAGTCAGGCAACTATGTTACAATAATTTTCGTGTATTTTATAATTTTAGAACCTGTACTACGGATAAACAATTGGCTTGGGACAAGTAATTCTGAAGAGAACTCCTATGCTGTGAGAAATGTGTGCTCTGGAATAAGTCAGTCTGGTGCATCACATTACAACAGTCTCTATTTGGAAGATATACAAACAGATGAGGATAAATTAAACTGTAGTCTTCTTTCTTCCGAGTCGACATTCATGCCAGTTGCGCACGGTTTGTCCCCTGTATCGCCCAGTGTAGAATTGAGAACACTAGGTACGAATGAAAGTGTAATAGAGTTTTATAAAGAGAGTACCGAAAATTTAAAAACACAAATACCTGAGAAGACAAAGCTAACAGAGTTTGAAAATGGAGTGAAAGAGGATACATTTTGCTGTGTTTATCCAGTAATTCAAAATGAGAATGTGACTCCAAACACCACAACCAAGCAACCCGTACCAAGTACAAATGCAGAGAACACACCGCCTTCAAATTATCAAACCGACTCTAATGGTGTAGTTACAAGCATATTCTCTGCACTTGAAAATGATGTGGACAGTCTTAACAGTATGAACAAAGCAGCAACTAAGCTTCAGTCCTGCTGGAGAGGGTTCCACACGAGAAATAAAAATCCGGTAGTTAGGGATTTGCGTTATGAGATCAGACTGTGCAGAATGCAGGACCATATTGTCTTCTTAACTGAAGAAGTTAACAGGTTGGTTTGCATGGGTGCATCTTGCATGTATCGTCTTCCTATGTTTGTGTGATGCTTGTTCTTATATTTGGAATGTTATTTACAATTTTGTGAATTTCTGTTGCAAATTGTGTATATATAAGGGTATTTTTCTTTATTATATACTCCTGCATAAAGGATAGTCTGACTCTTACATGAGTATGGAATTCAGTCTCTAACTCACACATCTTTGTATCTTGTTGTACCTGTTTACCAGTAATACACCTTGGTGGTTTTAAGGGTAAAGATCTTGAGCAAGATATTTGTGAACTACAGCTGCCTCTTTTGGCATACATAAAAAAAGGCCCTGACAGTTATGACTGTTCTTAAACATATGCATTACAGTTACATTTCAGGAAACTGGTAATCAATTCCTAGCATGTGTCTGATGAAGCATCAAAGAAGTATGCTGGAAAGTAAAAAGAGCAATGACACCAAGCAATTGATTGCATTAAACCTACACCTTTGCCTCGGACCACCGTGTTTACTTTTGATACTATATTGGAGACTATATTATATTAGACTTGTGCAAAAGATATGTTTCAGATTGCTTTTAATCCACTCCCAAACCAATCTATTAACCCAGGATTCTCATCCTATTCACTGAATAAGACTCCACATGTAAATCTGGGTAAATAGATTAATTCTGGTATGCATTAAAAAGAATTTGATTCAGATGAACCGGCCGAAACAAATTTTTGCAAAAGTCTGGTAAATATTGTACACTATATTTTACGTTAAAGGGAAAACTTTTTTGGAGTGTTTGGAATACAGACCTGGATACGCTTAGTTTCCCTGTCCCTAGTTGGTAGGACTGCCCTCCCTTCCCGCGCTACTTAACTCTCTGTTTGCTGCAATGTCATGGAAGAGCTCCTCCACAATGATCCAATCCAACACTCCTCATATAGGAGCTTTCAGGACGGAGTGCATGGCGAGCGCTATGCGTGCATCCATGCTTTCTCACTTGTGGTGCCTTTCCCACTTTGTGTGGCCCAGCCTTCTTTTAATTCTGTTTAGTATTTGGAGGGCTGACTGTAGAACCCCCGCTTGGAGCACTGCTTGCCTGGAGGGGGGGCTGTATTTGGGAACCCCCTGAGTGCTCCATGGATTCATTATTTCTATGGGTGACTTTAGTGGTCCTTTATTTTATGGAGCGTTTTACAGGATGTTCCTTAGACTGTTGTTGATTTTTTACATGCCCGATAGTACATAGGTGACTTGGTTTCTGGTATCTTCATCTGCGGTAAGTGGAAGAATGAGGTGCAAGAATATAGAGTTCTTGGTAATAATATCTCCTCGTATCACCAGGCAATCAAAAAGTTTAACTTTGGGGGTATTTGCAAAACCCAGTGAGCATATATGGAGAATGCAATAGGAGTACATATACACTCAGGCATTCCTTTTATAATGCAGCACTGGGTGGAAACGCCAGTGTAAGTTAATTAAAAAAGTGACTACATATTTTAAACATACATAATGTTTTTATCCAGGCTTGTATGTCACACTAAGATTGTGTAACTTAGAAAAGGCCATATTATTTTTAGCACAGATGACACACATACCCACCTGTTTATGTAGATGTGCAATTGTTATTCCTCACTGGCTATTTTTAGCCTAGCCAGGTAAACCGGTTGCTTTGTACTTCAGCTATCTCTCAAATTCCTAAAATGATAAACTCATTTTAGAAAGGGCTAAATATAGACTATAAGCAGCTGGAGTTTTTAGTGAGTTGTCATAAAATTATGCATCTCCAAATAGAAACCCATATCTATAGTGTTATAGTGTATGACTTTGCGATTCATTATCTTAACCCTGGGTTTTGTGACTTGCTGAATACTCATATAATGTATTGATGTTCATGTATGTATGTGTGTAGAGCATCTATCTTCAATCCCTTTTAGCCTTCTCCTCACTCAGACATAAAACTATGTGCTGCTCTGCACTCCTGTAATTGATTAATTAGAACACTCCTGCTCCCATTTGTGTGGGGGGAGAATCTGACAATTCTTACTTTAGAATTCACATACAGTGCAGCCCGTAATCATTTGGACAGTTACACAAGATTAGTAGACGTTAAAATGAAACAATGACTAAGATTATAAATTGCTAGCTGTTTGGGGAAAATGCCACAGTATAAATGAGAAATGATGATGGTTCTCATGCAGGTTTGACAGCGCAACACAAGGGAAATTAGTTTACTGATGTCTATAGGTCACGGAGTTTGTGCACTCATTAAAGATCTCAGCCAAGTACTGTCGACAACCCTTTTTTAAAGAATTTTATTTTGTACAATTACTTTTAAATTTTTTATGGAAATAAATCTGGGTATAAAACAGTGTGATAAATATACTGTTTGTGGTTTATGGGTTTAAATAACCTCACATTTCTTTGTCATTGTCCCAATGTTCTGGAGTACAGCTCAAAAACAGTAAAGCTGAAGTTACTGTCTGAATAATTTGTTTTGTCTCCTACATATTAATTTAGTAGAGTTTGAAGTGGGTTTAAGGCTATTGTCTGTACACAATTTAATTTATTGACAAAATTCCTAGTGTGTGTTTACTGTGTTGTAATTCTACTATATTGAAAAAGAGATGTAACGCTGTTTAAATGTTTTCTGTTGTAGGCTAAAAAGAGAGAGAGAGAAGGAACGCATACAAAAGCTTGTTCAGGAGGAAGCTGTGAGATATCTATGGGAGCAGGTAAGTTAGATTATGCCATCTAGTGTGACACTGAGCTTGCATTCTACAGAGACATAGGAATTTGCTTTTTAAAGGGACGCTCCATGAACCATAACCATTACTGTTTATTGTAGTGATTATAGTGCTAAGAACTTTAGGTGCACTCCCTCTGGTTTTTAGCAAAGTATTTTTAAGCTGGTTTGATAAAATCCAGTAGACTCCTTGTCACCCAGTCCTATCCTCTTTTCATAGGACATCCTTGTGATGGAGCTTTTTACTTGTTCATTATTAGTCTTTTTAAAAAAATTCTAATCTAAAGGGGTGTGCTTTGAGTGCTAAAAATTAGTTTTTGTCAGACACAAGCAAACAGCAAAGAAGTAGCACTTCCCAGACCGGGAGGAAGCTTGTCAATGTAGTTCTTCTCATCATTCCTGGATCTGAACTTGCCCCATAAACACATGTCCAGCAAGGATTTATCTTGTATGTGTTAGACTGATAATTCCCTGGATGGTCATCCCACGTCATTTAACATTGTTTTCTCATTCCTTTTTTTTTTAGGTTCAGTCCATTCAGCAGTGGCAGAATACAATAAAAGTTCAACTTCCTACTAATTCTCAACTTGAAGTACTTACTGCAAGCAAATCACTCCCACACATTCCTGTCGATTCATCTAAAGTATTTGAAGAAAAATCTTCCTGCATTTTGAATCCAGAAAACTTTACCAGAAAAGCCTCACCTGATATCCCAGACTCTGGTTTCCATTCTATCATAAGTACGGTATCTCCAAATGAACCTACTGTTTCTGAAAAAAGCTCCAATGAGGAAAGCAAATCTTCAGAGCCATCTCTGGAAACGGTGATACAATTCAATAAACAAACTCTAGATACTCCTGACGAACAGGCTGCAACAGCTGAAGAAGAAAACAAGGACAATTCTAGCATTGAACAAGATAGCAGCCTCTTGCAACAGTATTTACAGACGGTTGAACAACTGGAGGAGGCAGATAATACAAGCTATAGCGATGGACCAGAAGAGAGCCGTCCAGGAACCACCAACTGTTCGTTATCCTCTGAAATTCTGTCCAGTAGCCTTTCACACATACAACATGATGATTGTAAGCAGGAAATACATACAGTTCAAGTTAACTGTTTTTCATCTGGGGAAGCACATAGCATGCTGAATCTGCATGACCCATGCTCTCAGGTGCCATCGGTGGACTTGGTCCTTTGAGTTGAAGAATATCAGGCTACTGCTTTCCATTTATAATGTGGCATTTGGAAATGATACAGTATTGGGCTGTAATTAAATTATTTTTACTGTATACACTCTGCAGCTGATATGCACTTTGCCACAGTTAATGCTGTAAATGTTCCTAAATTTTTATTTCTGTGAAATGGTAATACTGGACAGATGGTTAACACTCTTTTCAGTAGACACTTAGGAAATAAAGACAACTTTATTTATGGTACTTACTATTTATAGTGTAGTTACTATTTATCAAAAGATACATTTTATACTGAGCAATAATAGAGAGATCAAGTGTTCTGTAAATAGTGATGAACAGTCTAAAATTAAAGGAACATTCCCAAGCACAATAACCAGTTATAGTGCCAGAAGAAGTCAAACGTTTTAAGAATGTTTTGGCAACTTACCTGAGGCTTCCCAGCGCTACCTTCTCTGCTCTTGGGACACTTTTACACTGAGCAGAGCCCAGTGGTGCAGGGAGGCGCTCATTTTCTGAGAGTGCTCAGCTGACCCTCTTGGCCATCGAGCTGGCCCTGCAAGGCAGGGCTTTGGTAATAAAAGCTCCATGTAGGAGCTTTCAGCTTCAGAGAAAGCAGCTGATGATACCTGGCAGAGCCCTGGTAGGTTCTCAGTTTTTTCTTAAACAGTGGGTTGTAGTGGTTATAGTACTTGGTAATATTTTAGTCCCAGGGGGCTATACCAAAAGAAGTCCAGTTTGATTAAGAATGTTTTGCTGCAAGATATTTATAAATGGAGGCTTATTGCACGCACATTGAGCTGGTGTTTCGCCTTAGTCCATTCCTTACTTATCGCACACTATTCTGCTGTATCAGTATTTATATGAAATACTTATCCACATTGATTACACAGTTTTATTTATTGCCAATTACTCTTTCCTGATATATCACTGACATTTTATAGAGGAGCTTAAAACAGAATAAAATGAAGTTGATGTTTTGGCTTGCCTTGTTTTTGTATGTATTTTTGCATTATCTATACCAGTGGTAGTCAACCTGGTTCCTGCCGTCCACTAGTGGGCGATTCAAGCTTTCATGGTGGGCGGTGGTGGGGTTTATGCGTGACCCTCGGTGCTCTGGCACAACCACATGCTGCACGCAGGCGTGCGCCTCCCTCCAGCCATTGAAAGACCTCACAAAAACGCCCAACACACATTGTGTTTAAGCCTCTGTTTGCTAAATCTCACTCAGTGACTAAAAGGAAGCGCACCTGAGGCTGCAAACCTGATCAGGATGGGTGGGGCATAATGATGTAACGCGCAGGAAGAGGAGGGGAGCTGATGCCCTCGATGTGAAAGCAGGGGCATGAAGAAGCGTGGCGTTTAGAGTGGCTGATATTGAACTTTGGCAAGCTAAGTTCTGTTATTTTCTGTTTACTTGGATTATATAAAAGAAAAGGAGGAGACCCCTGAGCTATATATTCCTTTTTTCTATCTTATTTTTTGTTATTGGCTAAAATAAAGTAGGCTACCTAGTTCAGCCTTTCTGCTGGTGATTGCAGTAAGGAAGGAGAAAAGAGAACAAGAAAGGATAAGGAGAACAAAAGGGGAGAAAACAGGAAAATAAGGGGAAACAATAGAAAAGGGGAACTTCTTTTGATGGTAAAAACATAATGGAAATGGGAAAAAGCGTTTTTTAAATCCATTAAATTTAAATTATATATGTATAAACATGCATAAAGTAGAAGTAAAAAGATAAAGTACAATTGTACTAACAATATATATTAAATGCAGCACAGGTGGGTGTTAAGGATTTTTTTTTTTAACAATCAAAAAAGATACATAAGTGGGCGGTAGGTATTAAAAGGTTGGCTACCCCTGATCTATACAGAATATCATTGAGGTACCTGGTCATCCTATGTTTATTCTTCTCTAATTCTAATGGAGTGCATGTTTAGCACTGATAAAGACAAAAGCGATAATTTCCTATGTTGTATACAGAGATAGCTACTTGGATTTGTATTGCCTCCTTTGTGAGAACACATGAGTTGTGACAAATGTGAAAAAAGTCCCTCCTCTTTGGATGATGTAGAAACACCCATAATGCAGCACACACTCTTGCTTCCCATTTAGAATCCTCAGTTCTGTTTCTGCCTACCAAGAGAAAGGTAGATTTATTGAAGCTCAGACTAAAATAAGATGATCCTCTAGTGGGTTCACATGTTCCAGATAAGCAGATGAGGAATCAGCTACTTTCCTACATCTTCCAGTGATGCACCAATATGGACAAATGTATACTGTATCATATTGTATTGTTGAAGTCACCCAAGGCATCTTGGATAAATGACAGATTCTGTGTTAGTGTGCATCCCTGGTCACTCGTATACCACCCTAGGGTGTGAAGGAGTGTCCTGGAGGCTCTACCTTTGTATTCCTCATCTTTCCCTAGTCTTATTTGAGCAGTGTTATTGGGACACAGACCCTTTAAAAGGTACACCGTTCTTGCAGCATTGTATTTTGTTAAACCTGCTTGTCAGTTCAGCTGATCTGAGGTCTACATAGAAGAGACATAGTGGTTCACTACTTATTCTAGAGATGTTTCTATTTGATTAAAAAAACAAAAAAAAACTTTCTTCTAAAAGACAGGCAATTTAAAGGAACACCCCAAGCACTATAACCACTGCAGCTCACTGAAGTTTGAAGACTTTTAACTTGTGGCCCGCTGGGTGCTACTCCCCACCTAAGAGGGAGCCAGATGTTCTCGGCCTGAGCTAAGACTGACGGTGGAAGAGGTTTCTCCTAATTTCCACCTGCTCAGCAGCCACTGAGCAGTGCTTCCTTAGTGAATTATGGGATTTTATGAAGTCCCAGATTAAACTGTTTGGCTTCAGTTACTTTTACCCTTGTTTTTGCTCTGTGAGTGTTAATACCATCTCTACATTGGGTGTAGGGTATACTGACCACTTGACTTCTTTAGGACTTGGGCTCCTCTCCGTGGTTTGTGGCTAGTTCTGGTCATTGGGAAATTCTGATTTTTCCAGGCTGTGATTGTTGACCTGGTTACTGCTATGCCTTCAATGCTAAAATGAGTCCTACGGAGCATTGTAGTGATGTACTATCTCCGCTATTATATTCTAATATAATAAGATGAACAGACCTCCTGAGCTATTCAGGACAGTATGGAGGTTAATTCGGAATGTTGAGTATAAAAGGGTAATACAATAGTGTGCTCACACAGTTCCAAAGATCAGGGCAGGCTGCTAGGTGTATAAACCGTAAAACAACTAATTGTCAATGTTGGCAGCTATGGTTCATGGATGATAAACAGGAAAAGGTCGGGTAACAATAATAGCAGGCATTGAAGTTAATCCACAATAGCATTACAACAACTGAGCACTGAGCTCTCTGGGCAGCAGTGCTTTACAGAGTTAACGTAATTATCAGCTGTCAAAGGGCATGCAGTGTTAAACTTAAAACCACACTTCTCTGTAGCTGGACAAGTTTTAAAATCTGGTACTAAGACTGCGTGCCTAACATTAGGGGGTGCTAATATGCAGCAGTCTGATTTGTTTGGTAGGAAGCCAATATTGGAATGCAACAAGACATGGAAATAGCTTGAGCAGCCTGCACAGCACTAGAGAAAGGTGTTGGAAGGAAATCAGCTGTGGAGATCTTAGCAACCCGTAAAGCCCAGGTAGGCATGGATCACTTGCTCACTTGCTGATAAAATACTGCTTTAGACAAGATGGGTAAGAAATTGGAGGGATTTCTAAGGGATGTTTTTCTACCCTGCTGGTTATTTTTTGTAATCCTGTTTGCAGCTATATCCTTGGGGTGTGATTTGGACCTCGGTAAAACAGAAGCTGCAGTCAGTAAATGCCTTGGATCATGTTCAGTTACTAAAGATGGCGAAAGAGTTCTTCTGCGATTCCTGAGGCCATTTACCATAATACTGAGGTTGTTTACCTTAATGGTAAGTTGGCAGATTTGAACCATAAAGTCTGTCTGGCAACTTCTCTTTAAGTCCTGTCATTTGACTTGGGCTCCAAGTAATGCTTCTTAGAAATGCTTTTTAAGGCAAAAATCCTTTATGGCACAGGTCTGGATGCCATAATTTCCATGATGGCTGGTGATGAACACCTTTCTTCTGCAATATAAGGTAGCCTCATACAGAGGTGCTGTGCAGCTCACTTTTGTTCATTTTGGCTCTTCAGACTTCCTCTCATTCCTCTGGTGTACCCATGGCCTCCTTAAGGGTAGGTCCTTTTTTTGAAACAAAGCAGACAAAGAAGTTGCTACACCTACAAAGTCTGAATGATGGTGTTACCCTTCTCCCCCCTTCTGTTTGTATCTCAGTTTATATTTCAGGACCAGCACTACTAGTGTGTCTTTTTGCTCTTTGTAGTAGTCATGGCTCAATATTGTACTTGCATATAGACGTTGTTCCATACCTTGATGATATCCTGTAACGGAGTCTTACCTGATAGGGAGTCCAGCTCGCAGAGTTATACGCTCACCCTTGCAAAGTAGACACAGACCAGGGTGACCAGGTAAGACGCCACCTGGCCTGTGAGTCTGTGCACGGGGGCTTTCCAGGAAAAGTGCTCCAAGTCTCAGTACAACAGGGATAAGCAGAAGCGTGGTCAAGGGAAGCCAAAATCAGGGAAGCCAGAGGTCAGAGTAGTCCAGGAGGTAAGCCAAGGTCAGAAGCCGGAATTAGACAAGAATCACTGGAACGCAGGTACAGAGTAACAGGAACCAAACAAGGGAACCAGAGTCAATGAACTGACACCCCTCCCAGGGTGAGGCAGGCTTTTATACCTTGTTAATCAGGCATCAGATTCAGCTGGAGAGTTACTGACAGATCTGAGCCTTTGGTGATGTCCAGCCCCCTAGTGCTGCAGGCAATACAAGAATAAACAGGAGTTATCCAAAGTCCTGAAATGGCTCAGAGGGAAGATAGCAGGATACGGTGTAGAACAACCGCAGTTCAAATCCCCTATCGGGCGCTTCGGAGCGACCACGTCTGGCAGACTGGATGTCACGGTATCCCATTTCAGACTGCCTCTTATTCTCTGGAGGTTCAGTATACCCAACTGCAAGTCTCCCTCTGGGCAGGGATCCATCACAGCTATAAAGGCTGGATCCACCAGCACAAGGCTACCTCAACTGAGGGATTTCCACCTGTTGGTGACCTAGATGTGTTCTTTTAGTAGACCTTTGTGGTTATTATTAAGGACTTGTAGGGCTGCATGATTATCACTAGGGGAATTAGCCAATTCAATAAACAAGGTTTCTAATAAATATTCTCAAACTCAGAGTGATTTTGGTCTCTCCTGTTTTGGCCAGATCTCTATTGAAAGCCTTATATCCACTTTCAATCAAACAACATCACATAGGTTGCCTATGTCAACCCCCGAGGAGGGAAGAGGAGTGCTACTGCTATGAGGAAGGTCTCCAGAATCATGGGTGGATGCTGAAAATGTGACGCTGTCAGCGTTTCGCACTCCTAGTGTAGACCCTTGACAACTTGTCAGTGCATTTAGCATAATTTTCCCATGATTCCCTGCATACACATGCATGCTCACAGTATACAAATGGAATCATGTGATACTTGTATTGCTGAAAACATACAAGTAACAGCCTTTGATTAAGGAAGCTCAAAGCAAGGAGGCTTATATTAATAAAAAAAAAAAGTCCAGCTAAAACTTAGCAGTGGAAAATGAGCTGTTACATGCAAAGTTCTTCTCTAACGTTTAGGAGTGGACAGGTATTATTGAAAAATTGGATCAGAATAATAATATACTCCAAAAGTTTTTAGACTGACTCTTGTTACCTTAAAAGGGTGCTTGCTTAGAATCAGATTTGACAATATGGTAACAAGTTTATGAAAGAGAATGTGTCACCTCCATAAACTTAAATGATACCAACCGGTATTATTAAATTCCAATTAATCAGATACACTTTTTTTTTTAAGATACTATATCTTGGGTAGTTAAGGTATGAGAAAGTTTTTAAGTCATCCTTTCATCCTTTTAGATTAAGCTTGGCTTATCAACCTCATCTTACTAACAAAGCCAACCTGTCAGGATTCCGGGAACCAGAACACACAGACAGAATCACAAACCAGAATATTGTAATACCGATCCTTAGAATGGTCGGGTTATACAGTAAAGAATAGTCAGAGTACGAGCTGAGGTCAGGGAAAATAAAGATAAGGAATAACGATAAGCAAGCCAAAGGTCAAAGGATACAAGAGAGCAGAATACACGAGACACGTAAGCCAGTCAAGATACCAAACAACTAATCCGAAGGAATGCGCATGTGGGCTAACAAGAAACCACAACAGGGAAAGGAGGAATAGGAGATCAGAGAATATATACCCCAGGATTACTTGTGTTTCGGCTCCGCCCCTCTAATGAATACAGACGTGCGCGTGACGTCACGATGTCACGACGTCAGCGCCCGTGCACGTTCTGGGGTCAGAGGTCACCCTCTGACCAATCAGAAGCCAGAGAGGGATATTTACATCCCTAATTCACTTTACTTCCTTGCCCTGTCGTGGTCTCCTGTTCCTGGTTCCTGAGAGTGCGTTTATCTTTGTGAATTTGACTTCCTGGTATCCTGATCTTGGCTTTTCCCTGGTTATTCTGAATTCTGGTTTCCCTGACTTGGCTTGTGTAAACGATATTTGAGTATTTCTGGCTTCCTTGGCCTCGGCTTTCCCTTTTGACCATTCTCTATCTCTAGCGTATTAGTCCAGCCATTCTAAGGTCCGGTTTACGCTCTGTCCTTTTATTTTCCTTTTCTTTTGTATGTATATATTTACATAGTTTCTGCGTGTTGGACCACACTAGCCGTGACAACTTGGTTGAACTACGATTGGAGTTAACCACTATACGAGAGAGGTATATAATCCAATTACGCTTGACCCTGACGTCATTGGTATGTGCGGATATTTCGGTCACATAGAGTCACTCTGCAAGCGTGTAGCATCTGAAGGAATGTTGGAAGAGACTGTGGTACTAGAAGGTGAACCATTGGGTAAGCAGGCAGGAGGTCTGACACAACCACAGTCAAAACAAATAATCTGGTGTTGCTTTAGACCGCTGAAGTGGTTATGATGGTTGGAGTACCGTGAACCTGTTTCCTGGTAGTGGGGCAAGCTGTTTTGCAATTGCTTACCCTCTTACCTGGGTCCCAAGCAGGTGCTCTGGTGACGAGCATCTGGCTACTGCAGGTCTGCAGAAGCTAGATTCCAAGCCCATGACATTCAGAAACTAAAGGAAATGAATACCAGTTGTTTTTTTTCACTCAATAAAGCCTTTTATATTGCTTTTATCTATCTATTCATTTTCTTTGATATTTTTTGTAAACCTTTTTGAATTTTCAAAAAACAAAAATTGGGCCTGCCTTCTGTTTTCCGGTTCTTCAGGCTGAATTGGAAAGACTACACTTTCATATCTCCTGGACCTGATTCCATATATCCCTGGTGGGGATCGTACCACCCAGATTCTATATTTATATATTAATCCACATATGGTGAGCACCATATGTATTTTTGTTTGCATATTAAATGCTGCTGATGTTCTGGAGTAAACTTTACACACTATATATCCTTGAGCGGGGATTATACTGCCTCATGCTGTTGGAAGCAATATACATATATGTGTGTTTTTGGCACATTATACCTACAGTGCCTTGCAAAAGTATTCACCATCTTGGCATTTATCATGTTTTGTTGCCTCGCAACCTGGACTTAACATGGATTCTTTGAGTATTTGCATCATTTACTTTCCAGAACATGCCCACAACTTTGAAGATTTTTTTATTTTTTTATTGTGAAGCAAACAACAAATAGGACAAAATAACAGAAAAAGTAAATGTGCATAACTATTCTTGCCCCTAAAGTCAATCCTTTGTAGAGCCACCTTTTGTGGCAATCATAGCTCCAAGTCACTTTTCTCTATGAGCTTGCCACATCTTATTGGGATTTTTGCTCATTCCTCTTTGCAAAACTGTTCCAGCTCCTTCAAGTTGGATGGTTTGCGCTTGTGAACAGCAATCTTTAAGTCTGACCACAGATTTTCTATTGGATTGAGGTCTGGGCTTTCACTAGGCCATTCCAACACATTTACATGTTTCCCATTAAACCACTCAAGTGTTGCTTTAGCAGTGTGTTTGGGATCATTGTCCTGCTGGTAGGTGAACCTCCATCTTAGCCCCAAATCAAGCACAGAGTGGTACAGGTTTTGCTCAAGAATATCCCTGTATTTAGCACCATCCATCTTTCCCTCAACTCTGACCAGTTTCCCAGTCCCGGCTGCTGAAAAACATCCCCACAGCATGATGCTGCCACCACCATTTTTCACTGTGGGGATGGTGTTCTTTGGGTGATGTGATGTATTGGGTTTGCGCCAGACAGCGTTTCCTTTGATGGCTGAAAAGTTCAATTCTAGTCTCACCAGAGCACCTTCCTCCATACATTTTGGGAGTCTCCCACATGCCTTTTCGCAAACTCAAAATGTGCCATTTTGTTTTTTGCTGAAAGTAATGGCTTTCTTATGGCCACTCTACCATAAAGCCCAACTCTATGGAGCGTACGGCTTGTTGTCGTCCTATGTACAGATACTCCAGTCTCTGCTGTGGAAGTCTGCAGCTCCTCCAGGGTTACCTTAGGTCTCTGTGCTGCCTCTCTGATTAATGCCCTCCTTGCCAGGTCCCTGAGTTTTGGTGGGCAGCCGTCTCTTGGCAGGTTTGCTGTTGTGCCATGTTCTTTCCATTTGATTATGATACATTTGATGGTGCTCCTGGGGATCATCAAAGATTTTGATATTTTTTTACAACCTAACCCTGACTTGTACTTCTCAACAACATAGTTCCTTACTTGTTTGGAGAGTTCCTTGGTCTTCATGGCAGTGTTTGGTTAGTGGTGCCTCTTGCTTGGGTGTTGCAGCCTCTGGGGCCTTTCAAAAAAGGTGTGTATATATAATGACAGATTATGTGACACTTAGATTGCACACAGGTGGACATCATTTCACTAATTATGTGACTTCTGAAGGTAATTGGTTGCACTAGAGCTTTTTATGGGCTTCATAACAAAGAGGGTGAATACATACGCACATGCCAATTTTCGGTTTTCTATTTCTAAAAAATAGTTTTATGTATATATTTTTCTCATTTTACTTAGACTATTGTGTTCTGATCCATCGCATAAAATTCAGATTAATAAAACATTGAACTTAAGGCTGTAATGTAACACAACTGGTAAAAAGTCAAGGGGGTGAATACTTTTGCAAGGCACTGTATGCACATACACACATACACTGCTACATGCACAGTGATACACACACGCACACTGAAACACATGCAGATACACAGATATACACACTGACACACAAATACATGCATATATACATACATATATACACACACAGATACACAAGCTGACACACATGCAGATACTCAGACACACTGACTACACACAGTTACACACACTGACTACATACAGATAGACAGATACACACACTGACAACATACAAATACACAGGTACAGACAATGACAACATACCAATACATATACACATATACTGTCATACATACTGACACACACACACAGATACATACACTGACAGACACATACACTGACAGACATACTGATACACATACTGACACACAGACATATACACTGACAGACATACTGACACACACAGTCACACAAACTGACAGAAATACTAACATACACACACAGACATATACACTGACACACACAGACACATACACTGACAGACACTCTGACACACACACAGACACATACACTGACGCACACACAAACTCACAGACATATATACTGACAGACACACATACAAAAGTAAAAAATGTTAAACCCACCATCCAGTTTCCTACCTTGAATCCAGTGTGGTGCATGAGTTTGTTGGGAGTAAGGGTCTGGCTCTTCAGCCCCCTCCTCCTCCCTCCCGCAAGGCTCTGTGTTCTCTGTGGGACGAAGAGACTCGCGGCTGTCACTTCCTCCCAGCACTGCCGAAAAGCAAGGGGGCCAAAGTGCATAGGCCACCAGGTGGGCCTCCTTAGTGTGTGGGCCCCCAGCTGCATCAGCGGGCTCATGGGAGATAAATAGAGATGAGGGCAGTGGGGTTCACAGGGCAGCTGCCTTGGGCTCCCCATAAGTAACTGGGCCCGAGGCAGCTGCCCCGTTTGCACTGTGTCACAGACGACCCTGATAATATAAATATCGATTTTTCTACTGTTACTCCCTTTTTCCCCTCTATTGATCACCTTTCATTTGATCTGTGAACAAAATCAACATTTAGTGGTTGTCCCCTAGCCATGAATCATCTTTTTTCCCACCAATCATCTTGAAGAGCTATTTGACCAGCAAAACAATTGTCAGCGCTCTATTCTGCAGCCGGTTCTGTCACTTTTTTCACAAGGTTTTCTTGAGTAATTGCAATAGTGTAAGAACCTGCTGAACACTTTTTCTATACCTGTAATTTCTTCCTTTTTGTACTGTAGCAGGCAGGGTATGTTTTATCAAGAATATTTAGCATGGGGGCGTGGCTTGAGCGCCGGACAGAATGGCGGCGTGAACCACAAGCTCCCTACAGGCTCAACACATACACCCGCCTAAACAGCTCCAATTGTGCACAAAATGGGCAAAACGAACAAGCCACAGCAAGCTGCAGCGGCTGCCAACACACCAAGTGGGTCGCAAACATCAGGTATGCACCAGTACCTTACAGCCCAGGCCGACCATGCTTCTCAGGCCTCCGGTGACCCAGAGGCCTCGGGCCTGACCCGCCCGGCCTGACCCAGAGACAGACAGCACGACCACGATCAGGTACACCACCCAACAGACCTCTCCCTACCCCAGCTGGACTGGGTATCACTCTTAAAAAACCTACCCACTAAGAGTGACCTGAAGGAGGCTAATGCCGCCCTCCATAAGTCCATCACAGGGGAACTCCAGGCCCTGAGGGAAGACATGCAGGGGATTCATCATAAATTGGCCCAGCTAGAGGCAGACTGTGACAAAGTGACATCGGCACAGAACGCCACAGCGAACACCATAAAACGGCAAGAAACACAGTTACGCCAAATGGCCCTCCACATAGAGGATTTAGACAACCGGGGGAGGCGACAAAACATTAGAGTCAGGGGCCTACCCGAGGAATGGGACCAGACTTCCCCAGTGCGGGACACCCTCACGGAGATCTTTAACGTCCTACTACAAAGGCCGAACACGGCGCCCATCGAATTTATCAGGGCGCACAGAGCCCTCAGACCCAGGGGCCCACCTGATTTCCCCCCCAGAGACGTAATATGCTGCCTAACACACTTTCAAGTGAAGGAAGACATCCTGAAAAGTGCCAGAGACAAAAGACAAATTATACACAACGGCACAGAAATACAACTATACCCGGACCTATCCCCTGCAACATTGGCATATCGTCGAGCCATGCGCCCACTCACACGAATACTGCAGACCAAGATCAGATACAGGTGGAGTTTCCCCACCGGAGTTCAAGTCACCACAAGCAACGGCCCCTTCACAGTAAAGAACGGCACTGATCTGCTAGACTTAAGCAGAGAACTACAACTACCGCCAATACAACTGACATGGCTGGATCCAATGGCCTTCTATGCCTATTCACCGGAGACACAACGCCAGACGCAACAACCCCCCAGACCCAGAAGAACGAGACAGCAGACAACACGCCCTACGGGCACCAACCTGTAAAAGACCACGTGCATCCCGCCCACCCTCCCGGGAACCCACAAGACCCAGCCACAGACCAGATAGACACTGCTAGTCCCCGAAAGATGAAACCAGAACTCCTGAAAGCACAGCGCTGAAACCCTCAAGTATACACACCCAACGAGGTTCAGCACAGATATAAATTAAGAGACACAGAGACATACCCCAAACCTTGGGACCCAAGCGGCAGGACCGGCACAGATGCTCAACCATGCAGAGCCCCTTGGCCTGATGGGCTACCCCTGGACTAAAAGGGTTGAAGCTAGGGGAGGGAGAAGGGGCAACAGGGGAACACATTCTTGGCCCCGGCACTGTAATGAGAGGGAGTGGGATGGGGGGGGGCCTGCCCCCCAGGCTGGGCCCGGCCGCCAGAACCCAACCGCACTGTGACGAACCTCGGGGAGCAGGCGGAGGGCGATGCCGGCGGGGCACACCCGGGGTGGGGGCGCCAGCCCACACCCAGAGCAGGAGGGAAGCGATAACAGGGATACCCAACCCACAACCACCCCCTGAATAGCCCCGCTCTACCAGGAACAAGGGGGAAATAGCACGGCACATAGAGAACACTAAGTAGGGTACTCCCAACATAGCCACAGAGACAGTAAGAGACCACACCAATCAGACCCAGAACTAAGGAAACAGCCTACACACTCTAACTCTTATCAGGGACACACACACACATCTCGAAAAGCCAGTGAGCAAGACACAAGGACACGAGGGACGCAAAACACACAATAGACAGTAGGGCCAACGGGAACCTGGGGTACAGGAGGGCGGGGGTAAACTGCACATAAACTTATGATAAGAACTGTCGAGAATTTTGTTTTCACCTGTTGTGACCATGTACCGGAATGTTAATGCTAATGTTATTGTCTACATCTTACAATCTAGCCACAAACAAAAGACTACTCACAAAGACACACATCCACACAAGCCCGAGAATTACCACACCCCGAGGCGGGGAAAAAAGACACGCTCCCAAGGAGCAAGCACCAAGGAGCCGCATAGGGAAGTCACGAGACAGGACACACCACCAAGAAATCGACCCAGACGCCTGGACCCCCAACCACTGCCCGACAGGCGAGGCGTCATACGAAAGGTGAGCACCCCACGCGCATCACTGGTGGTGCCGTGGACAGACGCTCCCCGACGCCTAAAACTAGTCATCACGAACGGTGACGCAGACATCGAAAGTCTTAGGAAATCCCCAAGACTACCTCAACACCCTAACCCTTACCTATCCCCACCCCCTATCTCCAACCCGACACTGACCGCAGGACAAGAGACATCCTGAGACTACACACACCACAGAGACTTAGGGCAAAGACACCCCCACAATACCTGGCGACAACAATTGGACTTGACTAGACGACATGGCACTGACCCCAGAACATCTACAGATCCTCACGATTAATGCAAAAGGCCTAAACAAACCTGAGAAGAGATCGGGAGCATTCAGAGACTTCTACAAACAGAGGGCCTCGATAGTCATGATACAGGAAACTCACTTTAAAAAGGGAACCAGACCCAAATTGACAAATCAGCACTACACGCAGGGATACTATAGTGACTACCAAGGAGGCAAGGCGAGGGGGACAGCAATACTCTTCCACAAGAGGTTGCCATTCCAGGAGGGGGGATGTATGTCAGACGACAAGGGTAGGTACCTATTCCTTAAAGGGAAGATCGCAGACCATCAATACACGTTCGCAAACATCTACGTCCCAAACACACAACAATATCGCTTCCTCAAACAGACACTCCGCAAACTCCAAGCATTCACAGAAGGGACTCTTATAATGGGGGGAGACTTCAATGTAACACTCGACCCGACATGGGACAACTCAACAGGCACCTCACACATCCCCACACAGCAGCTTCAAACCATTAAATCCCTGCTCCGCAGCCAACGACTTGTGGACTGCTGGAGAGCCCACCACCCAGATGTGAGAGACTTCACCTTTTACTCTCACCCTCACAACTCTTACTCCCGTATAGACCACATATATACCACATACCACAACCTCTCCCTATTGTCCGATGTAACAATCGGAGTGGCCACATGGTCAGATCATGCCCCAGTCTCACTCAAACTCAAATCACTACTCTACCGCCCCACGACCTCGAAATGGAGACTAAATGAATACTTACTTACCAAACTAGAAGTCGTAACTCTCATAAGGGAGAAAATCAGGGACTACCTGATAACCAACACAGGAGAGCAAACATCCCCGACGATTCGGTGGGAAGCACATAAAAGCGTGATAAGGGGCCACTATATACAACAGGGAGCAATAGCAAAGAAACAAGCCGAAGTTCAGTTCAAGGAACTGATAGCCAACATACACAAGACAGATGACCAAAACAAACAAACCCCAAACCACATGCACCAAACCCGACTCCTACAATTGAGAAGGGAGCTAGCCACACTATTACACGCTAAACACCACAGAGACGCGACCAGACACAAAGCCTTCTTTACATTGCATGGGAACAAAAGCGGCAAACTCCTAGCCGCAATGTTGAAGAAGCAGAGACAACACACATACATCGACAAGATCAGAGACAAACAGGGGACCTTACACCGACTCCTGACAGACATCATGAAAACGATCCGTACATACTACACAGAGCTATACACACTCCCCCAACCGAAAACCAGCACGGCAATGACGCGCCTCAGCAACTCTATCCGCGACTACCTGACGAAATACCAGACACCGACACTGGACCCAGAGATAGCAGAGTTAATAGACGAACCAATCACAATAGAGGAATTAGCACTGGCGGTTAAGCTAACCAAACCGGGCAAAAGCCCAGGACCGGACGGGTTACCGATGAAATATTATAAAACATACGCTGAAGACTTATACCCACCCATGGTAGAAGCGTTCAACGCGATAAGAGATGGGAACCATATCCCCAGACAAGCCCTAACAGCCCACATCACTATTATTCCCAAAGACGGCAAAGATAGGGAACAATGCGGAAACTACAGGCCGATCTCACTTATAAATTGCGACTTCAAATTACTGGCCAAAATTCTGGCAACCCGACTTACATAACACATCCCTTCACTGGTCCACCCAGATCAGGTAGAGTTCGTGACAGGAAGAGAAGCTCGAGACAACACCATCAGGGCGCTCACCCTCATGCACGGGAAAGAGAGTATGAAAGGGGGTCTTCTCCTGCTGTCAACGGACGCAGAGAAGGCCTTCGACAGAGTATGCTGGACATACCTCTTCGAAACACTGGCCCACATAGGATTAGGACCACACATGCGACAATGGATAGAGGCACTGTACCGAGAACCAACGGCCCAAGTGCTGGTAAATGGGGCACTGACAGACGCCTTCCAAATACATAATGGCACGAGACAGGGATGCCCCCTCTCGCCACTCCTATTCATCCTTGCCCTAGAACCGTTCCTTACACACATCCAAAATAACACAGACATAACCGGCCTAACGACAGGTAACACACACCACAAAGTGGCCGCCTACGCGGACGATCTACTCTTTATAATAACCAACCCTGAAATCTCCCTCCCGAACATCCAGAGAGACCTACAGATATATGGAGATACATCCAACCTGATAATTAATAATAGTAAATCGTTTCTCAATGTTAGCATCCCTACTGCAAGGGTGAACCCCCTCCGACACAGCTTCCCCTTCCAATGGGCTGAGCACAAAATTAGATACTTGGGAGTCTGGTTGACTAGGCAGAGCGGAGATATGCTTAAGGAAGATTTAACAGACACACTTCAGACGTTCCAAAAAGACATGCGGGAATGGTCATATCCACACATCTCCTGGTTGGGGAGAGTACAAGTCATAAAAATGAACTTCCTACCACGCCTCCTCTACCTCCTCCAAACCATTCCCATCGAGATCCCGAGCCCCTTTTTTAAAACCCTCAGAACAGAAATGATCAGATACGTATGGAATGGGGGGAAACCCAGGGTGAAATTCACTACCCTGACGCGGCCTAAGGACAAAGGAGGCTTAGCCCTCCCGGACTTCCACTTATACTATGTGGCCACACACCTACAGAGAATTGTAGAGTGGTCAAAAGACAGGGTTCACAAACTATGGAAGACGGTGGAGGAGACAGAGGCGGGTAGACCACTCTCGGGACTGCCCTGGGACCGAAACGCAATGAACCGGGACGAAATGTCCTTCTACACCAAACACACCCTGAAAATATGGAGGAGGGCAGCGGGGAAGGGGAACATGTCGCCATATCCCTCTCCCCTCCTTCCATTGACGTATAACAATGACTTTCCCCCGGGACTAGACCCAAGAGTCCTCAGAGACATCCTTCCAGACACTCACCCATGCTTACATCACGTCCTACAGGAAGGGAAATGCAAAAAGTTATCGGACATGATGGGAGAGATACCCCCGACCTTTATGCACCACTTTAGATATTCCCAACTAACCAACTACGTCCACACTCTGCCACAGGGACCAGCACTTACTAGAGAACATACCACATTAGAGGTGGTCTGCATGCACCCAGACCCGCTCCCACATGGAGTGTCCTTCCTATACACCATGTTACAAACAGACATCCCAACCGAGACACCCTTATTTATGGGGAAGTGGGAGAATGCCCTGGGATACACACTGACAGACACAGAATGGGAATCCATTTGCTACCTCACGCACCACTGCTCCACACACAGTAAAACACAAGAGACAGCCTACAAATTACTAACTCACTGGTATAGGACACCACACCTCCTCCGCCAGATAGACCCAGATCAATCTGGCCTATGCTGAAGATGCCAACAAGAAGAGGGAGATATAAAACACATCTGGTGGGACTGCACAAAAATTAAACCATATTGGCAAAATATACACAGAATGCTCGAGAAATTCACAAACGAGCCACCCCCCTGGAACCAGCAGCAATGCTCCTACACCACACTCCTACTCCACATTCTAAATACAAAAGATCTATGACCATTCGAATACTTAATATAGTCAAGCGAGTAATCCCCCAATTCTGGAAGCAGAGCATAACACCCCCACTGAAGACCTGGTTCAGCCAAATGGAGGAACTCAGGATAACAGAGGAACTGACCATGACGACTAACACAACCCCAAAGACCTACATGGACATTTGGACATATTGGATCCTAGAGATGGCGAAGGAAGGATTCCAAATGGAACTCGGATCAGACAAACGCCAAACCACAGACAGTTAGGACTTAGAACACACACTAGACGACAGATGACGGAAGACAATGACTACCATAACACCCTAACCCCGACTTTCCCTCCCCCCTCACTCTTCTAAAGACCCACACAGGACAATAACCCCAACCCAAGCAGAAATTATTACCTATAGAGGAGACACTAGTGCCCTGAATATAAAATCCATACGGGTTCACACCCATCCCTTGGCCTACAAGAGACATAACCCTAATGGAACACATGCCGAGCAGACGTGATAATCACAAGATAGCCTAAGGACAGCAACAAGCTACAATCACGCCCTCCCGAAATGTGAGACATAAACCTCTCAACACAGAAACACCATAACCCATACACATGACACCCAGGACACTAAGTGGAGAGTCACACAAGTCCGCTTAGGACACAATACCCAAACCAAGACGAAGGGACCTGAACATCGCCTAACAATAAAGGTTGGATAAGAGGCCTGCGAGCCTCAACACAAACATAACAAGAATCACAGCTGCCGTACAAGAAATATATAAACCACATAAACACGATTTAATCAGTAAAACAAGTGGCAGATGGTAAATGTACATGAAGTTACTTGTGAAACTTGATAATAGGGACTTGCAAGTCCGTCAACATTGCGGGCCTGCGAGCCCAAACATACATTAATGTTTTATAAAATTATGATAACTCACCTTAGAGACCTGCGAGTCTCAAACCTTTACGTAAGTAATATAAATAAAAATTATATTCACAAAAAAATAATATTTAGCATGATTGGGAACTTTACACTGCGTGTCCTTATTTGGATACTTACGATCTGATTTGTGAAGAAACTGCAAGCGTTAATTTCTCTGTTAATTTTAGTTAATTCCACAACACTGTCATAGGCACTGGGGCCCAAAAGGACATACCACTGGTGAAGCGAAGAGGAGCCAAGGGTGGCAGGTCAGGCACCATGGGGCACCTGTTCATATTTTCTGGCACCACTGAAGCCTTCCCCCCTCTCCCCAATCTGCAGGCCTTCTGGTAATGAAGCAATTTTTTTGAGTGAGAATGTGAGCAGCCAACCGCTGCTCTGATTATGCTGTGTGTGTGA